TGCACCCCCGCCCCGCAGCAGTGCAGTCGGGCGTCCCGGCCCCTAGCTCCGGCTGTCCTGCTAGACGCTCTCACCCTGCGCGGAGCACCGAGCGCTTAGCCACTCGCGCCTGGGCGGCTCGCGCAGGTGCGGAGGGCCCTGTGAAGCTCTGCCGTTGTGTCCTTCACACCGGCACGTGGGGCTTGAGGGAGAACCTCTCTGCCTACTGTTCTGCCTGCAAGGCTGGTGTGCTCCCTCCGTCAGCTCTCCCGCGGAGGGCTTCTCTTCCCTTGCCCCGCGGCCGCCCAGGGAAGTCGTGCCCATGGTCCCTGTGTCCTCACAAAAGGGATGTCGGGCAGCAGGCGCCAAGCCCTGGGGCCTGACGTTACACGGCCTTTGTCTACGCAGGTGAGGCACCGCCAGGAGAGCCCGAATTGGGTCCCAGACGGGAACGAGTGCCGGTGCCGTGCAGAGCCCGCCCTCTTTATACCGGGGCTCCCTGTGCCCGCTGGCCTCGAGCAGTGTCATCACATAAATGTGCCCACCTCACTGTGAGCAGCCTTTCTCTCCCCTCGCTGGATTTTCACTCTGCTCTCTTCGTCCGTAACAAACAAGCATTCTAGGCCCCGTGTGAGGCTCTGCTTCATTATCCAGTTAATCTCCATTTGCTGTCACCTATTCAGCCAGCAGTGGCATCTGCCTGCTTGTTAATCGAAAGCCTTTTTTTTCATTGTCACTTCTGGGAAGAGCTGAATGACTCATTCTGGCCCAGTCAGCCCTCTGGGGTTATCCGCCACAATAGGCCTGACCAGCCAGATTAAAGTGTGCGGTCACCGCAGGCCGGCTGTGTCATCAGCTCGGGATCCGTGGCTCCGGTCAGAGTTGTAGCGTGGACATAGCTGGGCGAGCCTGGGTAGCTCATTCTCGAGAGGGGCCTGTGGCTTCCCGGCTCCCCCTCCCTGACCCTCTGGTAACACCGGGGCTGGGGTACTTCTGTTACCCGTGTTCAGAGCTCAGTGAGAAGTAGATGTGATTGACTCCTTTCTTTCCTTGGTTTACCGCCCCCCCCCCCCGCACCCCCATCCCGGGGCCTGTGGTGTGTATCTGCTCTGGGGTCAGTGCCCAGCACTTAGAAGGCAGACAGCTGGTCAGTCCTTGCGGGATGAACGAATGTGTCTGCTACAAGTCAGGGGCCCTAAGATTAAGGCAAGGGCCGCAGTGATTCCCCCGGCAGTGTGCAGTAAACCCACTTGGAAGGCTTCCTGAACATGCGTGGTCTCCACCCCAGTGCCTAGAGATTCTGATTCGGTGGTTCTAAGTAGAGACTGAGGACTCTGCATTTTTTTGAAGCATGCATTCAGGTGATTCCTTTTTAGGTAATTAGCATCCAAAAAGCAATGCCCCAGGGGCTTTCAAGAGAGTGATGGGTTCAGGAAGTTTCCTGCGGGACGTGCAGGAAACAACTTTAGTGCATTCCATTTTTATTTACCAGAGAAGGCAGATAGGTTTCATTTGACAAGTCAGCTCAGATCTGTTCATAGTGGCTGCCGTGTGGAAGAAGATTCCAAGGACATGCTTAGCTTGCTGGGGGTTGTGGGGGGAGGACCGTGGTTACTAATCAATGATGTCGTCTGCAGGTGCAGATGGGAGTGGGGGCCACACCTGCTGTCTTGGGGGCCTGGACACAGGGCCTGGAGACTGGGTCCTCCGCTGCTATGGTCTCAGCACAGGGCAGGCCAGCCGAGATGCACAGTGCGAGAAATCATTACAAGCCTTGGCTGCCTTTCCTCCTCTTGAGATCTTGGGATTGGATGTAGAGAGCAGCCTGACAGGCTTGCAGGGAGTGGGGAGAGCACACTCTGGTACCAGACTGGGTCCTGCCTTACCACTGAGCGGTTGTGTGAAATTGGGCCACTTCTTTAACTCGGGGTCTTGATTTCCTTTTCTGTAAATGGAAGTAGTAATAGTACCTCGCTCCCAGGGATGAAATGAGGTGAAATACATCGAGCACTCAGGAGAGGGCCTGGCACATAGGACAGTGCGTGCTGGCTGTTACTTTTCCTTGGAGCTTACCAGGATTTGTGGGTAGAGAATTTTGAACTCTCTGGAGAAGGGAACTTTTGGAGTCGGAGACGCTCTTCTGGTGATGGGGCTGTGAAATTCACACAAGAGGAGGGTACACCGGGGGCCTCTGAACCGCCCAAGAACACACCTGTCTCTTGTGAAAGGAGAAGGGTCGTGAAATGTAGGCATGGGCTTAGGCCTTCTGACAACTTCTCCCTATCCGTGGAGCTGTGGGAGGCAGGCCACTGAAATACCCAGGGGGCAGTTAGATGTTCACCTGTAGTTTTGAAAAGGAGGAGTTCAGTTGGATTTTTGCATAGGGAGAGAGGGTGCTGCTAACTGGGACCTACGTTCAAAAGGCAGCACTGATGATGTAGGAACAAGAACCACAGCATTCCAGCATTTATGAGCTGGCCGAGGTGGCTGTCTTGTTAAATTCTAACCAGCTGCTCGGCTGGTTAGCAAACCCTCCCAGGACAGCTTCCCCCTGGGACAGGTTCTCCTGAAACCCAGAGAGCCCACATAAGACTTTTTCTTCCTAGTTATCTTACTATTTTTCACCCAAGTGACCTCTGTTAAGTTCCCGTCCTCTGTGCCCAGGTTATGCTGAGTGTTGGGGTGTGGGCCAAAAGAGGCGGCCTGGACCACAGGTACTCAAACTCTAAAAAAGAATCTGTCCTTAGTCTGTCCACTGCCTATGGGGGTGGGGTGGGGCACAGAGGTCCATCTGGCAAAGCCTCGGGATGCCCCCTTTGGTGTTTACTGTACACGACAGGGTGGCTGAGACGTGTGTGCCGCTGGAGCAGGCCGTCTGTGCAGAGGGCCAGCCAGGTCCCTAGCGGTCCCGAGAGAGCTCAGGCGGGGTAGTGTGAGAACTGGCCTGGAAGGGTGGTGGTTGGCAGAGCGGCACACACGGCACGTTCAGGCAGTGGTAAGTGGGCCGTTTTGGTAAAGCGCAGTGTCGGCATGAGGACCAAGGTTGGACTGCCTGGCCTGGGAGCTGTGGAGGGGCTGTGCGCAGGAGAGTGACGCGAGCAGCACGGAAGACAGACTTGAGCCACGGCCGGTCGGATGGGCCGCCTCACCGGCGTGCAGTGAGGCGGGAGCAGAGACGGGAGCGGGCGCAGAGGCGCAGGGTGGCGGTCAGCACCTCCCCTCCATGTACACGACAGAACCCCGAGGCTGGCCTGGAGGGAACGGATCCGCCTTGAAAACCTGCATCTTTCCTCCTCACCAGTCAATTTCTTCTCGTGTTTTACAGATTCAGCCAGTTATTGAAAAAACGTTTCCTTTCTCTCAAGTTCCAGAAGCCTTCCTGAAGGTAGAAAGAGGACATGCGAGAGGAAAGACCGTGATTAATGTCATTTAAATAAACACTGTGTGGTGATTGTTGGCTGTCTTATTTGGTGAGGGCCTCTCGGCCCGGACGTTTTTGTAACCGTTGCTTTCCAGATTAGATGATAAGTTCCATGATCCAAGTGTGGAAAAACAGACACCTTTTTGCCAGTAATTTGTCTTCTGAACTGAGCACAGATTCATTTTATAGCCCCCCCCCGCCACCGTCTGCACGTCACCCCACCCACAGAGCTGTCTGGTACCCTGCCCGACACCCCTGCGTTCCTGTTTGCCGAGAGGTCCTCTGAGCCAAGCCGAGGGGACACACAAGTAAGACAGGCCATGCAAATCGTCGCGCTTGGCCTGCTCTAGAAATTGCACAGGGGAGACTGCAGAGCTTTCTTCAGGCTGTTTGTTCATGCCAGATTTTCCCGTTGTTGTGTCCTCTTCTGTTCCAGTAGCTCAGACTCTATTCCTGTGAGCTGCTAAAACTTGTGGCATGTGGCTGGATGGCAGCGTGAAGAGCTTCCTTCAAGCTACTTCCTTCTTGCAAACAGTGCTCCTGGATGATTCCAGCTGGGCATGGTTTCCTCTGCTCTGCTGTGGTCCTAACCACCCTCAGAGTTCTCAACCTCTCCTTAGGGTCACATACAAAATCTGGCTGGTGATTTGGTTGTTGACTCAAGACAATGAAAGGGGACGCTCAAGTTTCTAACTTTTTAAAACCCTTACATTTTGCATAAGGGCTAGGCCTCTTTCAGCAATCGAAACGTGCTTCTCTGAGGACTTTTCCGTGGAAATGGCAACCCTTCTCCAGTGTCTCACCTTAAATGCCTGCACTTAGTTATCTCACCAGTAAGCCCACTGCAGTTTTTGAATCTGTCTGGGACCTTCACTCAAGGTAAGTGTTTCTTTCCTGGTGTTTTCCTCATTACCTCACCTCAGCTACTGGCTTTTAGCTTTGGACGTAGACTTGTTTAGTAACGTGCCACTCGGCTTCTTCCTGTCAGACACTCTTGGTAATGTGTTAGATGAGAGCTTCTCTGGAATTGCTGGTCTCACCAGTACAAATATTTCGGAAGAGAGAAAACGTTATTCTCAGCAGTCCCAGCCACTCTTGACTTCCGTCTGAACAGTCTCTGCTCTTTTCCTGGTGGGCTCCCACGTGGTACAGTGAGGGGGCAGAACTTTTGAGGGAGGACCTCACTTACCCGCAGGTCCTCTCTTGGAAAGTGGAGCGGGCCCTTTCACCACTGAGTCTGGAAAGCCCTGAAACCTGCCTCTTGCTCATCCGTCAGCCGGCTGCCTCGCTGTGACGTGTCGTAACGGCCACGGCAAGGACGCGCTCAGCCCTCATCCGTACAGTTAACCAGAAACAAGTTTATTCAGGAGAGAAATTCAACACCGGCGATTGCAGAAAGTCTGACCCCCGCACACTAGTGATCTGCACAAAGGCCTCAAGTCCCAGCTATACATCTCAGAACAGGACAGACCTGTTGGCAGCTGTGGGACATGTGCAAACGTTACTTTAAAACTGAAGCTAAGCTCCTGACCACAACTGCCTACCCAAGACTCCAGAGAGGAGACCACATTTTAACATTGGAAAAACACTGCAACAGATGAAAAGGAAACAAGATTTGTTCTTCCTGGAATGACAGCACCACTATTAAGGATAATGAAATAAGGACAAAAAGAGGAAGAGTATATGCAAAGAAGGTCTAGCAGAAGGCACTGGTTGGATAGCACCATGTGGGCCAGTATATTGTCAGCAGTTAAACTCGTAACCTTTTTCACTGAAATGCTGCATTTTAGGGCCTCCCGAGTCCTACCATTTGAACAAGCATTGCTCCAGGCCTCCTTTCCTTCACGCTCTGGAGAGTTGCCCGTCATCCCCCACTGCCTGCCCCATCTCTCATGTCTGCCGCCCGAGTCCGTGTGGCCCCGGGGGCCGTGGTCCGGAGACCAGAGGCGGCTCCGGGCAGGCCTCACGCCAGTGCGGCTGGGTAGGAGGTTAGCACCTGAGGGGACAGGCCTGAGCTTAGCAAAGGCTCATAGGCCATTGCTTCAGAACGAATAGTAGAGGAGGGAGGATGGACTGATAAACTAGGTCTGGCATCCGCAAGAAAAGTGTTAAGCAACACTCGTTCGTGACATTTCAGGGCCGCCCACAAGTGGGTTAAAATCATCCAGATCCTGCTCGTGTTAGCGGACGTGACGTGAAATCCTGTACACTTACTAATGTTCAATACTAACAAAGTATTTTGTGTATTTGGTTCCTTAAAATGTCTGATTCAGTAAGCCTTTCCCCACTTTACTATAGAGCATAATTAACGATCCCAGAAAACCAAAGAACCAAAATTATTGGCCTGATATATTACTTCTCAGATGCTAACCCTTGAGCTTTTATCCATCCCTGTAAAGTGTAAGGCATTGGTAGGCCCACAAAGTCTACTCGAAGTCTGTTCCTGTTCTCTCCTGTCACTATCTTTGGAAATAATTTAAAATGTCCATAGTCTTGATACATTTTTTTTTAACACCCAAAAGCTGCTAATGAGGCAACCTGTTAAGCAGCTACTGAAAGGAAGGCAGGAAATGAAAGAAGGACAAATGGTTGGTTTAAAACTATTATAGTCTTTTGAAAAGAGGAGACCATAGTCCTGGTCACGGCAGGGTCATTCAGAGGAGGACCTAGAGCTCCTGCAGAAGGAGCAGGTCCCCTTTACTCAGGGCTCTGTCCATTTTTGTTTTTAAGCAGCTGGAAGACCTCCAGGAGCATTCCTCCCGCGTTCTTCAGGTTTACAGGACCATGGCTTCCCACACTTGTGTTAACTTCTCTTTGCTGACGGTGTTGAGGATAATGTGATTTTGGTCATACTGTGTTCCCCCTGAAAGAAAGAAAAGGAAAATAATAAAAGGAAATGTGCCTGTAGGAGGCAAAGCAGAGAGGAAAGGCCTGGGCTGAGAGGATGACTCAGCTCTCGGTTGTGTTCAGATCCCATCCTGTGGGCACCAACAGCTCCATACAGGATGTCCTTACCTCCCAGGGCTCCTTTTCCTCCTCAAGACTTAAGAGCTAGAAAGCACTCACTCTTTAGGTGTCTGAAATTAGGGGGCGAGGAGTGGGGAGGTGGAAGAATCTAAAGAAGGGAAAAGGAACAGAGCGACTGAAATATATTCAGTGATCGTGGAAAGTAGTGGAAGGGTTGGCATCTGGAACAGGTTTTGCATGAACAATGACAAATGGCTGTATTAGGGCAAAGGGGAGGTTTGAAAGACACCCAGATACGTGGACTGGGCAGCACACCCACTCCTGGGAATGCACTTGGTATATAAAAATTCACAGCACTTGATCCTGAGTTTAACTGTACTTTTAAAATTAGCATAATTTAAACTTTCACCAGAATGTAAAAATATTTTCCAAGGGTGCCTACTAGACATTTAGATACATGGGTGCTAAAAAAACATGGCGTGTTCTTTTGATGGAGAAGCATCAAAGTGTTACCTGATTTTTTTTTTCAGTGTGGAATAAATAACGGTTTCAAATACCTTATCCTTTCTTAGCATAAGCCTCTGCACCAAGGTTATATCACAGGGACTCCATCGAAATAAAAATCTGTTCCTCTAGATATGAGGCAGTGTGACTGGTATTGAAATCCTACTGCATCCTCAAGCCAAGAAGAATTAAATGTTCTTATTTTTTTAAGCATTTATAAGAAATCAGTTTATCATCACTGATGATCTAGAGCTTCTACACATCTAGGTATAGGATAGAATACCAGAGCAAGGTGCCCTGAGCCTATAAGTGTGTCATGGGAAAAAAGTTACCACCACCAGCAAATCCCACTGTCTCCACTGAGACACACATACTCTACTCCATTGAGATTTGGGGGTGTATTAGGATTACAGTGTTGTCTTTATTCTTTAGGATTATGATGTATACACAAAAAGAATGTTAAGATACCATAATCTTAATTAGAATCATGAAGACTAGAAAGTCCTTGAGAAATCATCTGATTTCATTCTTCTGCCTCTGGAGAGAACGGAGATCATCCCAAACTTTTGATGTTTTTAAAGCGAGGAGGAATCTGCTTCCATTGCTGTCATAATGTACGGGGTCTGAAATGATACATGACTTCTACCAAAAAAACACCTCCCTCCCCAGACACCAGGAGGTAAGTTACAAGAAAGCCCCTTGGTCTGATAAATCTTGGGGCAAGGTCAGCAGGTAACAAATGGTTCAACAGCTGTAGCTGAGGAAAATCCGAAGTCTCTATTAAGTGTAGCCGAGAGGGATTTGTATTTCCCTTGCACCTACTCCCTCATGTCCACGAGGTGGCATCATTCTCCCACATTCTGAGAAAGTGAAATTCAGTTTAACAAGGCCAGTGACTAGTACAGTTCCCCTACCTAGTCTATACTGAGAGTTCATAAACCTATAGAACCATGTCCTTACTCAGGAAGCATTGGAAGTACTTAGAATGCATTTTAGGAAGGGACCTTGGAGCTTTAAAGCAAAGCCCTATGGAGGAAGCTTCTAGAGTCCCACAGTTCTTGCCAGTCAGGACTTGAAGCCAGGTACCCTTACTCCTCGTCAAGTGCCAGTGTAGCAAATGGGAAAAAGTCCTGTATGCTTGGAGCTTCTACATTGTAAACTCTGAAGCCAAGGTAGTATTTCCCTCCCCACTTTGGTACCCAGTATGACTAGCTCATAAGGATTACAGGGACCTCTAACCTTGACACAGAAAACTGATCACGTAAGAAACATGAATCCATGTTTTGTTTTGTTTTTTTTTAAAGCAATGTTTTGGGGCGCCTGGGTGGCTCAGTCGTTAAGTGTCTGCCTTCGGCTCAGGTCGGGATCCCAGGGTCCTGGGATCGAGCCCCACATCCGGCTCCCTGCTCAGCGGGGAGCCTGCTTCTCCCTCTCCTACTCTCTCTGCGTGTGTTCCCTCTCTGGCTGTGTTTCTGTCAAATAAATAAAATCTTAAAAAAAAAACAATGTTTCCAATTTAGTCACATTTCTTTGGTTTTGAAACTCTGTCTTGTTAGACCAAGGAGCTCTAGTTCAGTAAGGTGATACATGCACATGCATGAGAATCCTCAGCTATACTCACTGAGATCAGGGCCTTTTGTGGTTTTTAGTCTATTGTAATAAAATAAATGGTTTGAAGTCAGCCTAGGTCCAGATTCCACCTGAGCACTTACGAGTCTAGGACTCTGATCAACCCCTCTGAGCCTTACTCTTGCGGCTATAAAATGGGACCAGGGAGGAGGGGGTAACCTGGGGCTGCTAGGGTTGCTGGGAAGAGCCCGTGAGCTAGAATGCATGTGGAGTGTTCGCAGTGGCTGGTCCACAGCAAGGGATCGCTTACTATTAAGAGTATGCGCATTTTCACAAGTGAAAAATACATTTTTAGTTAAGTAGAGACATAACAGAGAAAATAAATGATTCTTACCTTTGACATCTAAAACTAAATTCGGTTTCAGCTTGCTGTAGATCCTGCCGTCTGGCTTCATGCTCCAGAACTGACTGTCGGCGTTCTGGTCGAGGGCGAGGCCCAGTTTAGAGCCAGAGGTCACGAGGCTCCCCACGATCGTCAGGCAGCAGTCTTCTGCTATCTGCTTATGGGAGAGACAAGGCAGCTGAGAGATGGAGACACGTTCAAGGATCATGACCAGTTCTTGGCACAAATTGACTTTTAAAGTTGTCTTTGTTGTCCGCTTCATTTACCCCACAGGAGGCTTTAGCCAGAGGAACTGGGATCAAGCAACAAATACTTACACCTTCATTTCAGGAGACACGAGTGCTGGAAAGTTCTCCATTCTTGTCCGTTGTAAGATTTCTGCCCTTCGTGAGTCAGGTAAACCTTAGAACATTAGTTCTCCCTTTCCGAAATGACCGTGATCAGAGGCGGGGGTCTATTGCTGTATCTCCCCTGACCTAACCATCTCTGCTCAGCCTGACTCTTCTGGAATGTGACTGCATCACTAATTTGAAAGGCTGTCGTAACAGTGAAATAGCTTAAAAGGCATTTTATTATTTTAAAACTTGAAATTCCACCTACTCTCTTGTCTTTCCTTCATGAGAAATGTCTAATAGAAAGTTCCAAAAAGGCATGCTATGCAACTATAAAAAGAGAAAGGATAAAATACAAATGCAGTGGAGTGTGAATTAATGCAAAGATTTTAAGGGGCCTTTTCTGAAGTGAATCTACCCCCTATATATAAGCTGTGTAGTCATATGTTCACGAGAGCCCACAGGCTGGATGTTGGTATGGTAACATGATCACGTGATGTGTTCACGTAATACATCCTGCTACAGAAAATGCTTATGAAAAGTGTATAGTAGATAAAAAGAGTGATAATCTGGGACACTGTTTCTCATTGACCTACTGAATTCACAGTTAACATTACTAAAATGTTTATTAGAAGTAATTGCAGAAAGGCACTGTTTTCTTGAAGTGTTTAATTCAAAGACAGAAGTTGGCTTTTTTTATGCTTCTACAGTCCAGCCCCTTCCGCTTCTCATGCTATTTCTTCTACGCCTGTCTAAACAGTACTTCCGCTTACTGAAAGGATGATTCTCCCTCAAGCACAACAGACCCAATTAATAGGTTGTGCTCCCTTCTGCAGGGCTGTATGCCTTCCGCTGACTCATGGGCACCAAGGTTTAAGAAAAAAATCTGGAGCAAATAGTCAAGCCCATAAAATCAAGAAGGAGTTAAAAAGACTATCTACAACAGAAGCGTGAGCTTCTCTAATGAAGTCTTACACTACATTCAGCTTTACCATGTCTTATATGGCAGGAATGATGCAACAGGGAGACCATTTTCCATTTTACAAGGTATGACAATTAGGCAGTGGACTGTGTTGTACACAGGGTCATATGTCTTCGCCCTAGTCTGCGGGGTCCTCCAAAATAAACCAAGAATGATTTGCATTTACAGTGCTGGGGCTTCTTGAAATAAACCATAATAAGTAGATTAAAGAAAAGGGGGAAAATAACACAGACACTTCCTTCTATTAGTACATAAAAATCAGGTATGGATGTAAATATTCCATCCTGGATCAGTGCTAGGTTTACCTCCCGTTTTAAGTTCCTAGATTGGTTCTATCAGCTAAAAAATATTTTCATGGAAAACCTTCTAATTTAGTTCTGAAAGTGCTCCAGGAAGTGTGAAATAGCATCTACTTGAAGAAAGAGGCTATTACAAACCCTTATCTAATCCTAAAAGCTCACCCTGCATTTGATGCATCCTTCTTGATAAATCCAGATCTGATCATCAGCACCGACATCTTCCATGACCTGTATTCTAAGTAGCTTCAGATCCTCTAGGTTTCCATTGGTGGACATGAATAACCCCGTTGCTTTGTTTCGAAGTCTGAAATAAATACGTTTCTGGAAGACAAAGATGCCGGCAGTAGTCATATATAGGGAGTACTATTGGGGGCACAGAATAAACATTGACAGCAGGGGCAGAATCAGAGGTGAGGCTGGAATAGGGATCATTGCTATATCCCTCAGAGGCTTTAGGATCTTCTCAAGGAGGAGAGTTTGTCAAAATTTCCAAGTGCCTGGGGCAGGGAGCCTGGGGAGAGCCCACAGGCTGGATGTTGGTGTGGTAACATTTCCGAAAGCCATCACGACCCCTAAGCACCAGAAACAGAGCCCAAATCCAAAAATTCAGGGGGTGGGGAAAGACCAATTTTATACTTAAAACTGAAACTAAAAAGCTGAGTTACATTTACAAAAAAAGAAAAAGATTTCAGAGAAGAGTACTGAAAACCTGTAGAGGGGAAAACAAATACCTGAACAAAAGGTCGTAGAGAACCTATTTGTCGACAGCCACTGAACTCATACCAATTCGGGACCTCCGCTGGGGACAGGAGGAACTGCCGGCCCCTGTAATTGCCATATTCATAAGTAACCCATCTGGGGAAAAAGAAAACCATAGTAAGTGGCAGTATCCATTTGACAGTCGGCCACTGTTATTTTTACAGTGCTTCCCATTTTTACACCAAGTTTTATACCTTAAATATACATGGGGGGAGAAAAGGAAACTACCTTATCTAAAACACTTAAAGCACCCATTTCTTGACAAGTAGGAAATTCTTGGTACCTGAGTATTTATGCCAAAAAGATCCATTCCTGAATAGAAACAGGTTAAGTTTTTCCTTCCAATAAGGCCATGAAATATGGTCCTTTCCACAAGGCTGCCCCATACTTCCTGTGAGGCTTTTGTAAAACATTTTCAGTTGTAATTTTTTTTTTAAAGATTTTATTTATTTGAGAGAGAGCACTCAAAAGGGGATGCAGGCATAGGGAGAGGTAGAAGCAGGGAGCCCGACGCGGGGCTCTATCCTAGGACCCTGGGATCATGACCTGAGTTGAAGGCAGACACTTAACCAACTGAGCCACCCAGGCGCCCCCAGTTGTAATAATCTTTTTTTTTTTTTTTTTAAGATTTTATTTATTTGACAGAGAACACAAGCAGGGGGAGTGGGAGAGGGAGAAGCAGTCTTCCTGCTGAGCAGGGAGCCCGACGCAGGGCTCGATCCCAGGACCCTGGGATCATGACTTGAGCTAAAGGCAGACACTTAACGGCTGAGCCACCCAGGTGCCCCCAGTTGTAATAATTTTTTATTTAAATAGTTACTATTTGTAAAGTTCTTAGTGTGTGACACATGCTATGTATTATATAAGGGTTAAATAAAAATAACTCAATAAATGTTTATTTAAAACAAGTGTAATCTTCCTCAATCCAGAAAACTGCTAAAGATACTCTGGTCTCTCTGCCCGAAGATGCTGTTACCCACACCTGAAAAAGTATGGGTTCTAGTACACACTGGCATGCAGGCAACCCAGCAACTTTTCTCTCTGGCTGATGCATGACATCAATGAAGAATGTTCTCTACTTTTAATCCCGGAATTCTAAAATGTTATCATCTTAGCCATTTTATCATAAAAACAAAATATTAAAACCTTTTGGGGGAGGGAATCACCCATAATTCTACCACCATAGTAATCCATAATTGTTTTGTTAATAACTGTAGGCCTGCCTATTGTTTTTAGGAGGGAAAGAAAAATAATTTCTTAAAAATGCTTACTACATGGGTAGTCCTTCATTTCTGTATCTTAATTTCAAAATTATTCAAAGTTGAGAAAAATCTTTCCACATTGATTTTTAATCATCGTGCACAGCATCTGCTAATCATTCCTAGGTAAAGGAAAATCCTGACCCTTACTCCAAAGCCCAAGGACTTGGCCTTTCAAAGGGATAAGAAAAATCAGCTCCCTTTCTTACCTGCTAAAAAAGTGATCAATATATTTACTGAGCACTGGTTTGCAAAGGATTCCCCTAGGAACTTGAGAGGAGCTAAAGACAAAGTCCGTTTCTTAAGTAAATTAAAAATCTGGATGAAGAGATGAAAACTACCTCACACATGGCTTTTCCCAGTGGGAAAACTGTGCTATGAAGGTGCATAATTATTAACCCTTACAGGAAATAAGGGGATAACAGGTTATGTTTCAGTTTGCTTAAGGTAGCTTACGCAAGAAAGAAATAGGATCAAACCTAATTTTAAAAATCGAATATTTTACTGAATAAAAAGTAGGTAACTCACTCACATGCCACCAATCACTTGAACAGACCGTATCTGTGTGTTGAATCCTAGGGATCGGAGATTAACTACTTCTGCATTAAGTTCAATCTTTTTTCCTTTGAAGTCTTCTCTTTCAAAAAGAATAATTGTTGGTTCAGAAAATTCCTGTTGAGGAACAAAAATAGTGTTCTGTTACTCAGCTTTGATGATAATTTGAACTCATACAGAAATAATCTTGTTAAGGACAAATCACAAGATCTGACCAGGCTTAGCCTGTCCTAAAGTCTCTTTCCCTGGAGGTCTGGGTGTTCCTGTACTCCACAGCTAAAGAGAGGAAGGACAGAGGGGCAGCAAGGTTTTCTACTGCATAGAAAGGTAGACAAATATAATGGTGTTTTAAAGCGGGGGGGGCGGGGGGGCGGGGGGGAACACATATCCTAGGCACAAAGGAAGGGGTATTTGAATCAACACTTGTAATTTATTTTCAATTTTGCAATTTTCTTATTGGGGATAAGGAGGGGCTGGGGAGCCATGTATGTAAGTAAATGGTAAGGGTCTAAGGATGGTGGCGGTCTGGGGTCTAGTGGAACAGTGGTAATTACCTAATCAAGGAGCCTTCCCCTTGTAAGCATTTTTCAAATGTCTTTTTTGTTTTAATTGTCAGTAAGACAACAGATTCTGTGTACTCGTGCTCCCAAGCTTTCCTGTAGGAATAATTGTTAGAAGGAGAGAGAAAAAGAAAACAAAAAAACCAAGGTGCAAGCCCCACTTTCGAGCCCTCGTTCATTTCAAACCGGACCAGAGCACAGAGGTCCATCCATGTGCAGAAAATAAAAAGCTGGCAGCTCGTGCTTGTTTTTCAAATTACAGACCCTCCTGACCCCAGTCTACGCTCTAATGATAATCCTAAGATCATAAATAATACATCAAAAATCCCCTCCCTGCTTAAAGTTTTGTGGTGAGGGTGTGGCAACTTACCGCCTCATTTATGTGGATGTGCCCTGACGTGTACAAAGATTTCTGTGGAGCAGTAAACAGAGCAGATGAGGCTGTAGAGGTGGTTTGTATGGTGCAGGAATGAGGTTATATAAAACATATAAGGAAACGACATGAGTACCAAAAGTGGCCTGAGCATGTGTGCCAAGGGCTAGTTGAAGGAAGGTGTCTGAAAACCTGACCACTGGGGTGGGTTTGTTTTGTTGTTTTTTAAGTATACATTTGGAGGTAGCTTTTAGAATTCTAGGCAGGTTAAATATTAAAGTTTTAGATATTTTGTTTATAAGCTAATGAATCGTATGCCTCATCCCGTGTTTCTCTGCTACTATTTTCACATCTCAAGAAAGGTCAACATTTCCGTTATTTGAACAGGCAGGCAGGGAGGAGATCAAGCCACCTCATGTATGTTCTCGCTACTTTTAAAACGCAAGTCACCAGCGACGTATGTTTAAAGTTTTGTAGGAGAGATCAGCTACAAAAAAGCTACAGACACACCCAGACTTGGACATCTGAACATTATCTTGATGTTTTGTTTTACTGAATATCGCTTTGGCTACATCAAAATTAAAGGTTTCTGTTCAGAAAGGGGACACGATCATCTGAACTAGCAACATACTGTGATAAACCAGGAGAAGACGTGACCGCAAGTCTCTAAAACAACAGAGTGCCAGATTGAAAAACCACGAGGACTTTCTGCAACTCAGTAACAACAACAAAAGATAACAAGAAACTAAACAAGAGCTTGGCAAAGGCTGTAAAACAGGCAGTTCACTGAACAGAAAACCCAAATGACTAATTAGTGTATGAGAACCAGGTCTCACTAATAGTGAAACATATCACAACGAGATAATACTTTCTGCCCAGTTTCTTCAAACTGACAAAAGTGAGAGAATACCCAGCAATGGCAATGATGTAGAAAACAGGAACCCACATGCTCTGCTAGCAAGGATCTCAAGTAGTGGAATTTGGCCATACTTAGAGAAACTGCATATTCGTGCATGTGAAATCCAGCAAATGCACTTTTTAAATACACACCCCTAGGAGACTCTCACACAAGTCAATAGGGATATGTATGTGTGTGTGTGTGTGTGTGTGTGTGTGTGTGTGAGGATTAAGTAAAGTATGGTGATGAATACTTGCACCAATTAGAATCAATGAACTGGGTGTACGTTCAGCATAATGGAGAGCTCTTAAAATTTTTTTAATGTGAGTATTGGGTTGTTTACAATGATGAGAACTATGGCATCATACCATATATAAACTAAAAGCCAATCAATATGTAGATTTTTAAAAAAACGTAATATCCAAGCTGTATCCCAAACACATTAGAATGGGTGCCTGTAAAGGAGAGAGGAATAGAAATAGGGATCAGGTATGCAATGGAAAAAAACAAGACAGGAAAGGCGCCTTGAACTAACCCCTGATGACTGCTGTACCACAGCTGACTCAACACTCTACACCTGGAGTCTGAGGAAACAGCAAACCAAACCAGATCTAAAAAGAGGGGCGCCTGGGTGGCTCAGTCGGTTAAGCGTCTGCCTTTGGCTCAGGTCATGATCCCAGGGTCCTGGGATCGAGTTCCGCATCGGGCTCCCTGCTCAGCGGGGAGTCTGCTTCTCCCTCTGCTTCTCTCACTCTCCCTCAAATAAAGAAAATCTTAAAAAGATCTAAAAAGAGACCAAAAAGTTACAGGATGGAAAGTTCTACGGCAACTGTTTTCTCTGCCTCTGACTTAAGTCCTGAGGAAGCCTACCTGCTGGTCTCCATCAGCTACGTGAGCCCCACATCTCTGTCACATTGTATTCACACTGACATACTTACAACATCTATAAAACGAAGAGACTTGAAAGTTGCTCCAGGCAGGCATCCCATTGCAGAGAGACAAGGATAGTGGCCTTCTTCCAACACATACTGATTACCAGAGAAATTTTCTCCATCATATGCAACCCAGCTACAACAGGAAAAACCACATATATGTACAATATGTAATTTGGATATTCCTATTCAAGAAGTCTGATTTTGAGGGGTAGCCTGCTCTAAAGCGCAATGTGTATGGCTATCTGTGCTTTCTTCAAAAACACCTAGACCTACTTACTGCTTTCCATCTTGTTGCAAATTAATATTCATAAGAAGTCAGCTGTTCGTTTGCATTTGGGAAAAAATTTTTTTTTTCTCCATCAAAATATTCATGTTTTTCCCTGTGCCCCTTCCAGTATTCCTTGCTCCTCTCATGGGAGCCACCATTCTCCAGCCCCTGAGCCCTGTCTGAATAATCCTGCAGCCGGCACAGCTAGACAACTGCCTGGGTCTGGGGGTTTCCTCCCCGAATTTCTCTCCTTTATCCTCATTTCCAGCACCTCCATGCTGGGCCATGAGTCAAAATACCACAGTGACTTAGACAAGTCATTTAGCCCCTGTGGGCCTCAGCATTATTAGTAATGTGGTGATTTACCAGCTTCCCCAGAAGAGGTGAGTTTTTTGTTCATTCTTTTCATCTAACAAATGCTTACTGGGGGCTAATTGTGTGTCAGGTGCTTTTCCGTTGCTGGGGACAGAAGCGAGGACAAAACGAAGTCCCTGCTATGGTGAAGTTCACACTCCAGTGAGCGGAGACAGACGAGAAGTGGACAACAAAAGTACATATCTGGTCCTACTAAGTGCAGCAGGGCAGGGGGTAACGGGGAACCGGGACAGAGACGGAGGTGTGTGCTGATGCGCTGTGGGATTTGACTGTAAATCTGTGCGCTCGAATGCAAAGCCAGTGCAGGCTCCCCTGCACAAGGCTAAATGATAAAATCATGCTGTTGAGACCATAGAGAGTCATATAGAGAACTATATGACTAAAGGCACCATTATGATTATTGTTATTATTAGATGTAATTCCTCATCAGCTGCACAGGTGGCTCCAAGGGTTTCCGGACCAACATTCCCTGACTTTGGGCTCCCCTCCTTCGAAAGCTTTTTTTGTAAAACTGTTTTTAGCATGGCATTTTGAGCCCATTGCCTTTCCCTTCTTGTGTTTTTACGGCATCCATCTAAACTCATATGCTCGGGGGAGCCTTCACGACCTGATCCCACCTTCTCTCTCCCCAGCTCTAGGGCAGTGTGCTCCCTGATCCCATACAGACCAGCCCCACTCCAGCCATGCGCTGCCTGACATGCAAAATGCCTATCTTACGCTGATCTACCTATAAAAAAAAAATGTGCCTTGGGAGGCACCTTAGAGATTATCTAGGGTCCTGCTGCGGGTGACAGGACAGGCTAGAGAGCAGAGAAGCTGGTCCGAATCACATCGTACAGCGACGTGGTGATCCCATGTGCTCTGGTGTCCGGCGCTCAGATGCTTCGAGGTACAGTGTCGTACCAAGACGGGCTTGTAGTATTTGGTGATTTCGCAGAACACCAGGCACCGGGGGTCACTGAGCACTTGCTGATACGTGAGTTCTAACCTCTCCCAGCAATCAGGCGCTGCCAGTTCCCCGTTTGACTTACCTGCCCCCTAAAACTCTGCAAGACTTGGTAGAAAACGAATCATCAATTTGACTTGTTGTTTCTTCAAAACCTTGACTGCGACCTTGAAACTGTGGTTCCGAAAACAACCGAATCTTTGAAAAAGTAAACAGAAATACGTTGAATTATTTTCCTAAAACATTAACTCCTTCAGCCTTTGAAATGATGCAAATATGACCTATTAACTCTTGTTACAATAAACTGCTATGAATTTTATAAATCCTTTAATTTTCTACTTCTACATTAATGACCAATTAGAAATACTTTGGCTGCCCCATTCATGCTTATTTAATTCAGAGACATCAAAGGACAATCCAACAATAGAGGCCGGTTTCTATAGAACACCGTGTTGCAACAAGCTGTGAGGCATTTTAAAGCTTTATTGTGGCCAAAAGTAATTGTTCATCAGTTCTAACATTTACAAGAAACTATATTTTGGAAACATAGTATAGTTTTCCTCCCTCTCAATGGAAGATACTTGCTGACTTATTAGAATCCTGTGTGTGTGCCATAAAGGAGGCTACAGTGGTGTTTTCGCCTCTGTAATTAGGGCTGTCTGAACTCTGAACACTTCCATTAAAAAGCCTAAATAACCAAGGTGACACTTCAGTTGATGCAGACAGTCAGCATTCAAAGGCTTGAATGAGAGACCATATAAAATAGACCATATAAAATGTTTGTCTAATGCAGACGCAGCAAATACAAAAATTCATTTTACTGTTTATCATAACTATATGTATTGTTTGAGATATGAATTTTAGTGTGTTAATGTAAATTGATCCAGTACAATGATATCAAATTCAACTTTATATAATAAGAGCATTTTATAAGAAATATTTAGATGTGGGTATGTGCTATCAAGCATTTATAAAGGAAACCTAAATCTAATTTTAAGATACAATTAAGCTTTCAGTTATAAAACTGGGTAAAACAAAATGTCCCAAATGTTTCACATTTTACACATAAGATCAGCTTTTCAGTGGAAGCCCCTAATTATAAAAAATAGATTATTTTTTAAGTTACCTGATTTCGTTTCCTTGGGCCAGTGAACGAATCCTAAAAATTTTTAAAGGGAAGAGAGAAGGAAATGAGTAGAGCAGACATCTCGAAAAAGTTTTTTCTTCCAGATCATTAGCAATTACTGTTAAAAATAATCTCAGAATAGTTTTTGTAGTGTTACGTATCTCATGAACTGGAAGTACACATTAAGGAAATCCAGAAGTCAGTTAAATATTCTCATATAAAAGTATAACTCCTTACCAAACATATGGGTTGAACAGAAGAGATCTTACAATTTTTGCCTCCCCAGTCCTCAAAACTGGTATAGAAGCCTTTATCCAGTATATATTGTTCTCCTGTGAAGTCAGGATTCTCATAAGCTACCCATCTAAAGAAACAAAAACACTGACTTGTTATAATTCATAGTTTACATGTATAATAAAACTATCAAACTCACTTAGGTAAATATGTATCATAAGAAACTCCCATTTGTTTTAATAATCAGTAATCTTGATTTTTCTGATTCTCAGTCTTTTGGGAGATTTGTCTGTATGACAAATCAAAGTGACAAGTGAAAGACTATCTTTACCTGAACCTTTTGGTGTTCTCACTTATCAAATCCTATTCCCTGAGAAAGCTCCAATGGGGATATTTGTATTTCTTTCTAATTCTATTTTAAGGAAACAATCTGGACTTCCAAGAGTACCTGTAAAGTTCTCTTAGTAAGCAAGCAAGAGTTTTTGTTATCAACAATATTTTTCCAGAAAGATTACAAGAAACTATGTCTCTATTATACAACAAACCACAGTGAAAAAAAAAGTTGACAGAAGAAATGCTTTAAAAAAAATATAGCTGGGGAGAACAGCATGTACTAAGGTGCAGAGATGTGACAGACTCGGGTGTATTGGGAAACTGTAAGATATTGGGCATTACTGGAGAAAAGGAGACATTGTGAATGGGGGAGGGGATAAGGCTGGAAGGGAGGAAAGGGTCAGAGGCAGAACAGAAGTATGATACCTCTTTTACAAATAACAGTAATTTTACTCCTTGGGTGAAAAACACATTCTTCAGGTTGGCAGATATACACAGAGAGATAAGAACTCTCACGCTGTGTGCAGGAAATTCAAACCCAGGGAAGTAGTGAACTGCCCTGGAATTTAAATATTATTTGAAACAATAAGGATGATTAATAATTATGCTACCTTGACGTTCTATGTAATCATCTTAATGTATAACACATCGGTCAAATTTCAAGAGCTGGGCATCTTTATAAATATATTGCTCTCCTTTTTGCAAGGTCATCACAACAGTTCAAGAATTATTTGGGTTATAAGTTTTGTTTCTTATGCAAATAGTTAGGATTTTGACCAAGTTGATTGTAAAACAAAATTCTCCATATCCTTAATGGATCTATGTCCATTGGTATAATAAAAGATTGCTCCAAATTTAGCACTAAAAACCAACCAAACAAAAAATACAGCCAAGTAATTAAAATTTTATTTGGAACAGGATTTCCGACATGACATGACTATGTAGAGTAAGCAACATGGCACAAACACTCAGAAATACTAAAATCTCTTCTGGGATGTTTTCTTTTGTCACCTTTCAAGTGATCTACACTCAGAGGATAATCAACAAAACCAACTTACTGATGATACTTCCTAGCCAATGTCAGTCTTTGAAAGTTTTTCAGTTCTGTTATATTCAAGATAACTCAGCGTCTCCTCCTGATTGACTTGCGGCTGAAAGGAATAATACCTAAATGCCTGTATATATACTCAAAACTTTCCAAAATGCTTTCACATCTATGACTACATTCAATCTAGGGAGCTACAGGTTTTCCCATTTTACAGAAAGGAAAAGCTAAAGACACAGAAAAGTTAATTCATTGATTCTTTCAACAAACATCGATTGGTCATTTATCATGTGTCAGGAACTAGAGGGCAGTAGGCGTGCAAGGATGGAAACAGTGATCCTTGCCCTTGAATTTACAGATGGCTGAGAAGCAGCACATGGAATTATTTGTTGATGTTTGTCCTGAATGGGAAATGACTTGTCCAGGGTGACACAATTGATTAGTTGGTGGCCAAGGACGGCTGAGCCCCCACTGGGTCTCCCAAGGCTCCCCACGCTGCATCATGACCTGAGCTGCCATGTGCCCTGTCAAAAGTCTCCTTTCATTTACTCTTCCATTAAGCCATACTTAAAACAGTCTGCACACTTTATAGCTAGAACAGATTATGATTTTACTGTCAGAAGGGCTTGACTTTAGACAAAAACCCAAAGGCAGTCATTAGGAAATGAAGAGCCATCAAGGAGAAGACGACCATGGCAGAAATCTCCAGTGTCAAGTAGCTCAGGACAGCGAGCATCCTGCACGCTCACTTCTGGCCGTCTGGAAGCCCAGCCAGTCTACTGCATGAAAGGCTGCCGCCTCACTTCAGAACCTCATCAGCTATTTTTAGAGCCTGTTCTTTAACATTGTGAGGTCAGGAATTAGGAGACCTAGTCCCAGCTATGGTCATGACATTAACTTCCAGGTAACTTTGAAGGGGTCACTTAACCTTTGTGAAAGATCCTCTTTTCATTCATAGGTAAGGGGGTTGCCCAGGATCCCAGTGCTGACGTTGCGTGAGCTTATACAGCGCCTGGGAGCTGCAGTGTGCAGCCTTGGGCTTATGAAGAAAGGTGACAGCCAAGGGAGAGCATGGAATTTATGTGGGGAGGAACATCTGGGGAGGAACATCTGCATAGCAAGAATATCTACTTTACAAAAACCGGACAAGAAGAAGAAAGAAGAAGGAAGGGGAGGAGGGGGAGGAGGAGGGGGAGGGGGAAGAAGAAGAAAGAAGAAAGAAGAAGAAATAAAGAAAAAGAGGTAAAGCCGTTTCACAAAAAAAGTATTCCTGGCAGGCTCTGCATCTGTAACAAGTTAAAAGAGAGCAGGTTAAAAGGCCTTTTTGCTTGACTGACTTCAAGGTTTGGAGGGAAAAAGGCTGTGAATGGGGAGAGACGGACCACGGGAGAGGAGGCAACGGAGTGAGCACTGGAGGAAGCTTCACCTGGCACTTTTTTTTTTTTTTAATAAAACAAGTGAGAATACTCTATTTCCCTATAAAACTAAAATAAATCACTTGTAAGGACACACCCACCACCACACTAACGTATCTAATTCATGGAGGTTGAAGCAAACAAACCACTTATTAAGATGTTACTTGAATTGAGAGTAGGGTCGTTTTCCTTCTGAGATGCAGCCCCAGATGAATCACCCACGAATATGAGGGTAAAAATAAAACCCCAAAACTCAGAGATCTGAGATTCTCCGGTATATCTATAACTTACACTTGAGACCCATGAGAAGAAAATTCCTCACTGTCCTTGTTTCAACATATTCTGTACACGTGAATCAACACTTGCCTGTTTCTAAGGTTGGAGGGGGTGGTAGGGAGAGAGCAAGTACGAGTACTGGCCGGTCCCAGCCTGGTGGGGCCACTGCTCAGAACTCACGGGGCCAGGCAAACTGGCCCTTCCGTGGAAGAGAAAAGGAAAAAGAAATTAAAACGATGGCACTTTAATTTTTTTAGCTGGACTCTAGAAATATTTCCTTTTGTTCTTAATTTTAAAAAAGCTAGCCCTGGGGCGCCTGGGTGGCTCAGTCGTTAAGCGTCTGCCTTCGGCTCGGGTCATGATCCCAGTGTCCTGGGTTCGAGCCCCGCATCGGGCTCCTTGCTCGGCGGGAGGCCTGCTTCTCCCTCTCTCCCTCTCCGAGCTTATGTTCCCTCTCTAGCTGTGTCTCTCTCTGTCAAATAAATAAAATCTTTAAGAAAAAAAAAAAAAAGCTAGCCCAGTTTCCACCATGTGAACAAGAGCATAGCACAGAACTTGAAATTGCTTAGTAGAGCTGTGAGAGGGAGTTTCTTCTGATGTTGCAGTAAGAAATTGAATGCAGTTCCCAACACCTCCATGGTTGGATTCATGGGCAGCCTTCCTGAAGGCTGGTCTGAGGTAAAAATGAGTTTACCACCCAAGGAATTTATTACCCGTGTGATAGTGAACCTCTTGGGAGACATCCAGAACAGGAATCTCAAAAATGTTTTCTGAAAAGTTTTCAGTTTCCATATTGAGAAATGAAGAACTAAACTAAAATTCTTATTTACCAAGAAGAATAGAGTCATTAAAATCATTTTTCCTTGAAACTATTAAAAACAAACAGGCTAGTCTTCCTCCCTTGTGTTGGCACACCTCAACCTATCAACCTCACAAGGCCCAGGTCCAGTGCCACCTCTTCGGCCACATTCTTCCCTGTGTACAAACTGGAAATTAATCTCTTTCTGCTCAGTAGATTCCCGAAGCACTTAATCTCTAGGCCTTTTGTAGCAATGATTTATGTTTTATATGAATACTGTAACTTCTGTGAAGACATGATATAGTGCTTCGCACGTAACAGACCTCAATCAATATCTGTCAAATAACCAACTGAATGAACTCTGAGGAAGCACCTGGCCCTGGTAAATACCGAAGCCCTTCCACAACCACAGAATTTAAAAGGAAGTGGTGTGGGGGGCGGTGATGTGTGCATACCTCCCTTCAACTTCCCCCAGTACCACAACTCAACTGCTATCACCAGAAAAAAAGCCTAAGCCAGGAAATACAACTAGAAATGACTAAAAATAGAAACCTATAAAAGTAACATTAATTTCAAGTAAACAAAGGCTGGGTTAAAAAAAAAATAAAAGACTGGCTCTGGGCACAATTCTACCTGTACTAACAGCACAAGCGACATAAATGCCCCAAGGGAATCTTACCCAGCATCCCTTTGCTTCCTCTGCTAGAAAGCATGACTGGACTCTGACTAATGGAACCAACACACCTGGTGAGTACCAAAATGTAAAACTGTTTTTCCAGACTGAACTGGTCACTATTTTCCTTCTAAGTAATTAACTTTAAAGGCAATCCAAAATACTATAGAGCCACGGCAACATTTCACATGACTTCTGCCATACCATACCTTTTGTCTATGGCAGACTGTAAAATGCTAGGGTGCCATAGCACAACACAGTAGAGGCATCTCCTGCTAAAAATGAAGACCCAGAAGTCCCGGATGTCACCCTGCCAAGATGGTGCCACAGTAACAACCTACACAAGGTTTTGGCAAATGTGACTAATAGTAAAAGCATATTACATTATAGACACATCTCAGCTATCCAGGGATCCTATGGGAGGCTCCACGAAATACGATAGAATTAAGGTTAGAATGATCCAAATAGCCTATGTTACTCATGACATAAAAAAACCTAATATCAAACACTTTCGACAGAAGCCATGTCATATAATTTCATATAATTATTTAAGAATACTCTCACTTATAACAAATTATAACTGATATCAACCTCGATAAGAATAATTATATAACTTCTTTTAATAGACACGTGTTTTGTCCATCCAGGATCTGTCCCCATTCTTTCTAACGTTCCTGGGGAACCACTCACCCCAATCATATATAAGTGGCTCTGTGGGACTGACCCCACCCTGCTCTGGGACTGGGCACATCACGCAGACACTGTCACCTCCTTGACTACAGAGATTGGTTCAGGCAGGTACACATGACCCAAGCTGAGAGAATCAAAGTCAAACCTGGAACTGTTGTGGGAAAGAGAAGCTCTTTCCACCGGACACAGTGAGAAGAACAAAAAGAACTTCCACCAGTTGGAAGTGGCCTGCCTAAAACAAAGCCAGAATAGGAAACAAGCCCAGTCAAGAGACAGAGAGCAAGTTCTAATGACAGTGTCTAAACCCGACATCCAGCCATGACTAAAGCAAAAATGTTTTCCAGGACTTTTAAGTTATGTAGTCTGATAAATTCCATTTTTATCACTTTCATCAGTTTAGGTTGGCTTGCAGTTATGTGCATCCCAAAGAATCTTGACTGATCATCTTTCAATAAAAGCTTACATTAGCATTAATAAAGCATTCAATTGCTAACTCCAGGTACATTGAAACATTAATTTTTATGTCAAAATAATAATGAAGAAATAAAATGGAGCAGATGTAGGAAGTAGGGGCTCAGGGCAGGCTACCCCAAAAAGGACCATAATGGCATATCGATTATTTCAAAGTAAAGTTACTTAAGAAACAGCCTGTGCACAAAGGACTCTCAGAACCTCCTCTGCCTCTCTGAAAACAGGAAATAAATCTCCCATGCGAATGGTACCCTCCCTGTACCAGGAGGTAGAGACACACCTTCATCACCAGAGATAGGGAATTTAGAGCCGAGAAGGCTGTATAAACAAACCTTGTTACTTTTTACTAATTTATTACATCAGCCCAAATTCTGTTTAGAATTCCTTACTAACTGAAGCTTCCAAACAAATTTCATCCTGTCAATTCCTAACAAATGTATTGTCTCTCTGTCTAAAATATATAAAAACTGCCTACCCTGGTTATTTCTTTGGGTCTCAATTTCATGATTGGACCTCCATGAGGATGTAATTAACTTTGGTGGGTTTTTTTCTCTTGTTAATCTATCTTATGCCAATTTAATTCTTAGACCAGCTAGAAGAATCTTGATGGGTATAAGAAATTCTTCCTCCCCTGCAAGGACTATAGGAAAATGAATGGGACTTTATCTCAACCTCAGTTTTCTAGTGTTAGATCATTATTTTTTATTTGATTCCCATCATAAGAAATCCAGGAGATCTTTCCATGCAGAATGATAAGAGAAGTGGATCTGTAGGTTTCAATCATGAAACCCAAAAGTCTATTTCAATGTTGCATTACACATGAAAAAAAAGATTACATGAGAAAGATTTTAAAAAGCAGTTACGAAAATATTGTGGCAGAACATATTAAATGTCTGATTTAATGTTTAGTTATTGATATGTTTATTTATTGAGTGCCTACTCTGTGTCAGAGATACTTTCAATTTAATACAACCCAACGTAAAAGTGTTTAAAATCCCGACTGGGTCATTTTACTTACACTCCACTCAGTACATTAATAGACTGTGTCTTCAATCCATATCCAGTCTCCTTTAAGTTAGCAACAATTCCTAATACGTCAATACTGGAACCTTTGGATCCAAAGTTTTTTTCACTGTACATTATCATGTGAGCATTTGAAAAATCCTATTAAGGAAAAAAATTCAAAATTCAAAGGCTACTTACTTATTATTCAAAAAAGATCAAGTATTATCTATTAGCCTTTCTTTAACTTACACCTAGTATAGGTCGTAAAGACTGAAGCTCTCCGTTGTAACCCCCCCAATCTTTCCAGTCCTTGTATTCTCCTTCCTCAAGCAAATATTGATGACCTGTAAATCCAGGCTTCTCATAAGCAACCCAACTGCAACAGAAAGAACATGTTTTCATCAGTGCTAAAATTTTCCCCATGTATTTATCAGTTTCATTAACAAATACTAATAGTTATAAAGCTAGACACAGACTCATGCACTATGACTACTGGAATCCTTCTCTAAAATTTAAGAGACCATAGAATGGACCCCTAAGGAACAACCTAAGAAATATACATCAACATTCTGTAAGGGAGTGGGGGGGGGAGAGGGGGGGGGAGGGAGGGGGAGAGAGAGAGAGAGAGAGTGTTTAATAAGAATGGACTCAAAAGAACTTCAGCAGGAGCACCTGCGTGGCTCAGTTAAGCATCTGACTCTTGATTTTGATTCAGGTCATGACCCCAGAGTTTGGGGATCAAGCCCTGCATTGAGCTCCGTGCTCCGTGGGGAGTCTGCTAGAGATTCTTTCTCTCTCTTTCTCTCTCTCTCTCTCCCTCTGCCCCTCCCCCCACTCACATGCTCTCTTTCTCTCTCTCTCAAATAAATCTTAAAAAAAAAACTTCAGCAAATAAAACTGGATAAACTTTCTTCAATGAGTAATTAAAATATTTTTGCCTATTTACAAGACCATTTTCTGTGCATACTTCTAAAGGAAATATGTAAGATCTATAAAGTGTAAAATGTCATAAAAAATAGAAAGCAAACTAATAGTTCAATAGTTTGGAGCATAATATTAATAAACAAGATGTAGATTTGATCAGTGTGGGCCAATTTATTAGCCTTGCTCAGCTGACTGGCCCCAAACCAGCTCCTTGATCTGCTGTGTCAAATCCAGGTCTAGAGAATATGTTTGAAATTCACTCTGGCTGAGAACATGTTTGAAATTCATTCTACCGTTCTATCTGGAATGGGTTTTTGGTGGTGGTGGTGGGAGTAGGGGAAATGTGTCTATTACTTTACTAAAGGGATAAAAAAGACACCCCCCCCAGGTTACTCCCACCTACTTACATTCCTCTCAGAACTTTCATCGAGCCCACGGACATAAATGGCAAACTGTCATCTGTTGTTTCTTCTGTTTCACCTGCTTCAGCAATAAAACTACACATTTCTGTTTCTAGTTCCATACATTTTCCTTCAAAGAAAGGCTTTTCATAAATAACTACCTACAATAGAAATGAGATAGATGACTAATTTTAAGAAGTTAAATATCTCAATAGCCAAATGTTAAATCAATCATTTAATATCACTAAGTCCTAGAACACAAAACTTCCTGATCTTATTTTTTAAATTAACTAAATAGTAGTATTTTATAATTTTAAAACTCAGAATTTTTATCCTAATGTGGTACAGCCCAAAGCCAGGTTCAAAAGAAGTTTATAAATAATTGGTTTAAAAAAATTGTTTTTTGTTCAATGTCTAGAACTGATAGTTAGAATTTTGCTTCGGACAAACTAAGGAACCAGAGGATCCTAAGTTGCTTTAAAAATGAAATACAGGGGCACCTGACTGGATTCATTGGCAGGAGCATGCAACTCTTGACCTCAGGGTCATGAGTTCAAGCCCCACGTTGGGCGTGGAGCCTACTTAAAAAAAAAAAAGAAACATAAATGTGCAAAGTAGAAATAGGAGAAAGGAAGATCTTGTCTTGAGAACTCAGTTTTTCCTGGCTGACTGGCAAGCAGCAACAGGCCCCACAATTAGTAAATACAACCACAAATTACAAACTGAATACAACGATGAACATTTTAAGCCATGGTTACACGTACTGAGAGGGATTATTAGTGCCATTAGCATCATCTTCCAGTCTAAGGGATGGCATGTATCAGTTGGACGACTTCCTTTAGCTGCAATTATGTTTCATGGAGGTTGATGTGTAAAACCACATTATCTTCAGGGGGATGGAATAGGAATAAAATTTTAAAAAATAAACATTTTTACCTTTGGATCTGTAGGGAATTCAACTTTACGTCCACCCTGAAAAGAAAAATAATATAGTCAGAAATACGGCTCTTTGTGGATAGATTACCATTTTATATGACCCTTCGCAGCTGATGGTCAGCGATCGAACGTCCCAGTGTGCGTGCCTCTCATTTAAGTGAGGCCGCAACAGTGCTGAAGTTACAATGATACAGAGGAAGAACGAGGAAGACTGTGTAGAGCAGAGGTGGTCTATAAGCTGAATCTGCATGGTAGGTTAAGTTTTTTAACCCAATAAGCTGAGGGTTTTTTTTTTTTTAATTCAGAAAATGTCTCACAAAAATGCATTCCTTTCATTTCCCTTCAAGAGCAGCCACAAGATCGGATGTTTCTGGACACAGATCTCAGAGGCAGCAGCCTTTCCCTTGTGCACTGACTACCTCTCCACTGGGCTCACGCTCCAGCCGGGACTTGCGCGGGGTTGGCCTGTCTCCACTACGCTCTTAGTTCAACTCCCTGCCACCCTCACTCATGTCTGTTTGCTGCCTGGCCCCTGGAGGCACTGGGTTTTGCAACCCGTGGCTTACAAAACTGTTGAGTTCACACAAGTTCACAATGTGGTCTGGAGGACTCGAAATAATTCCGTGAGCTGTTGGATAGAATTTAAACTAGCCCAAAGGATGGGTCTGTGGGGGTTGTTATACTTTCATAATAAAGTTTTTGTAGATCACCAAAAAACTCACTAAAAAGAAGCCACAGAAAAAGGTATTACTACACGGAAATAATAAATGGGGTAAGAGTTAAAATCAGCAGCGGAAAAGTCAGAAGATTTTACACTGATATAGAACAGTTTTTTGTTTTTTAAGTGCAGCCAAAGGTGCTCAGATGCACCAAATGAACTGTAATTATAAAGGAATGTTGCTGATTTTATCAACAAACCAGAGTTGAAACAACCAAATGCAGTAGCCCCCCCTTATCTGCATTTCACTTTCTAGTTTGTTAGCCACGGTCAATCACAGTCTGGAAGCAGAGGATCCTCCTCCTGAAATACTGTCCGAAGAAGGTCAGGGGTAGCCCAAGGCTGCATCACAACACCTACGTCGCCCACCTCACTTCGCCTCATCAGGCAGGCAGTTTATCATTTCACTCCATCACAAGAAGGGCGATTATAGTACAATAAGATATTCTGAGAGGGAGGGACCACATTCACAGGACTTTAACTACAGTATATTGTTATACTTGTTTTATTTTATTAGTTACTATTTAAGTCTTACTGTGCCTAATTTGTAAAATAGATAATATATAATTTATAAATTAAATTTTATCATATATATATATATATATATATATAGGAAAAAGACAATAGTATATAGAGGGTTTGGCGCCATCCATGATTTCGGGCACCCACTGAGGGTCTTGGAAGGTATCCTCTGTGGATGCGGGGGACGGGGGGAGGACAGCAAGTGTACTAAGCACCCTTTCAAAAGTATCCGTTTCCAATGCCATAAACTTCCCAGTTTTGTAAATTATTTGAAACAGCCTTCAAAACCTGGGACAATTCTTTCATATATTCACAAAACTAAACTTTGTTCTTTGAAAGTAAATTTTAGAAACAAATCATTTGTAATGAAAAAGTCATTTATAATGCAAACGAGTTTTGCATGAAGATCAGCAAACATGGAGGTAGTTAAACCACAGGCTTTGGCAGGAGAGGGAAAATTAAGATTAAAAATTATCTCCATGACTTTCTAATTTGTTTCAAACTGACTCTAGAAAACAACCACAAAGTGCGATTTCAGAAACATGTTTGTCACAGGAGCCTCCCTGGTGCCACGGGTCGTTAGTGAGCACCTCCTACCACGTAGCACACACCGTGCTCCACGTGGGGGAGAAGACAGGGGCGGCCTGGATCCTCCCAAGGCTTAGAGTTCAGCAGAAGAGACAGAAGGAACACGACAAGAGATGGGGTAGGGGGAGGAAGCACAGGCTCCTCTCTAAGGCAGATGCTGGGGGGACAATAGTCACACATCCAGCCCCCCAAGCTGCCCCCCACACCCTAGCCTCTGGTCGCCACAACTGGGCTGGTGCCCACCCGCCCTGCCCTTCCCCAGCTCCACCCGGGCTCAGGCAGAGCATTCCCTGACATCTCCATCTAACATGGCCCTGTGTGGTTTTTAAGACCCAACTCGATTAACACGGAGCTCTCCTAATCATCTCTCTCCTCGGTCACATCACCTCTAAGGTGGACTTCATCTGTCCTTTCTGTTTTTCCACAAGGGTTTAGCTCTTCACTGTCTTCGTTTCTTAGACCTGCCCTGGGCTGCAGCTCTGCGCACACACGTGTGGCTCAGCAAGGCTGAGAATGCCTCAGAGGCAGATGACATGGGCTTATCCATTTTTCCATCTAGAGCATCCAGCAAGTTATCCTATTATTTCTGTCTAGCAAGAGGTTCCATCTACCACAGATCTGTGTTTTCTTAAAATTCTGTTTTATTGCTTCGAAGTCACAGCCTGTGAACTATCAATGTCAAGCTGACAAAGAATCAGACTCCAAGAACATTTTGTTAGGTTTCTTTTTTACCATTTTCAGAGGCCTCATGGATCCAATGTACGCTTCTTTTGTATCCCAGAAGGACAAGTCGGGGTATTCACCAGGTTCCAGGACAAAAGGAACACCCTGAAATCCAGGTTCTTCATAAATCAGCCACCTAAATAAGCACCAAGGAAGAAAAGACAGGACTCCTCATTTATTTCCGTGGCACACGGGACCCCAGTGAGAAAGGAAAGGAGGGGTGATGTGTGTCTGGGCCATGTACGGCTACATTCAGGTATTAGAGCAACCCTGGACTCCACGAGGACTATGCCATTATATGCTCCTCTTCTTGATCTTTAACTTGTCTCCTTGTGGGTTTGTCCACTTACTTTAATTTATATTATGAATTGCTTCAAAGCCTTAATGTCACTATCACTTCAAGAGAAGTAGTCATTTTGTAGCACTGTATGTATTCAGAGGCCCTAGCTAGGAAACGCAAGCTTTGTTTTCAAAGGCAACATCTCACTTGTAACCAAAGAACCAAATGTTCCACCTACGTGCCCCAAACTAGTAACAGGAAACAACTACCTAGAGCTTACAAGGAATGCCACCTGGAATTCGATCCATGCAACAGTGTTATGAGGAAGGGACACTATTGTCCTCATTTTACAGATGAGGTCAAGTAAATTGCCCAGGGCCACACAGCTGCAAGTACCAGATGCAGGGCTGATCCAAGCTGACTGCAGAGCCAGCCTCCTAACCATTTTTTGGTAACAATTTTTCTCATTCCAGAAAGAACACATAATTTACGCTTTTTACAACAACTCAAGATCATCACTGTGAGCATGACAACGCACAGTGGTGTCCTGGGGGCTTTGGAGGTCTAGAAGGCTGCTTGTTCCCAGGCCCAAAAGCTTTTTGACTTCTTGGATCTGATTTTTATGGCTTTTCAGTACCACGCCCTTTTATCAGGCTTGTCAGCTGTCACTTCCGCTGCGGTCAGAGAACCAGCCCCCCCACCCTCCCTCCATGTGCTAGAAACCCCAAAACCAGAAAATCATGCCTGTTAGAACTGCTTCTAAACACTGTGCACAGTTTTGTCACTTTCATAGTTCCTGGGAGAGTTCTGGGAAGGGGAGGTTGTGGAGATGGGACGTTTACAGAAGGGAGGTATTAAAACACCCCCTTTATACACAAATATAGAATTTTTGGTGATCACTTATCCTCTCCAATTCCTTGTTAGCCTGGCTAAAGAGTCTTAGCTGGGGAATTCCATTATCCCCAGAACATCGTGCCAAGAAGAGAGTGGTCATAAATAAAATCTTTTATCAGCAAAATGGGCCCGATTCTCCCTCTTTGACTTCTTCTTGTTCCCAATTTTGGCCCAAGGCACATTTTGGGTAATGGGTTTTGTTAAAGATTCCCTTGGATAAATCAGCAGTTTCTCTAGACTCACTAACTACACAGGGATTTACAATCAAAATCGTACTGAAGATCTGTCAACACACACACACACACACACACACACACACACACACACACACATGTTGACAGACTGAGTGGTGTATGTGTGGGCAATCAAAACGAATTAATCCACATTGTTAGAAGTCAGGGTAATATATTAGGGGTAAGAGGATGGCAGGAGGAAGCACAGGTAAGGGGACTTCTGAGATACTGGCTGTCTTCTATTTCTTGATCTAGATGATGTTTACACTTTGAAAATTCACTCAGTTATACACTTATGATTTGTTGTGCACTTTTTTTGTACAAATATTATTACATATACACTTCAATAAAAAATTAAGGGGGGAAAAGGCTTATCTTTTAAAATATAGCACTACAATGCCCTAAACCACAAGAAAACGGAGGCTAAGACCCACGTGGGGTCCTTTAAACCTCCTTGGGTTTGAGGCACGAGAGGCAGGGATGTGTTACATATTTCTTAGAGCTCAAAGTTCTCGCAGGCACACTAAGTAATGGCATTTTGTCAGAAATGGTGCTATTAGGCTACCGAGCCAAGGACCGTGGGGTCTGACTCCTCACAAGTGAATGGGTGGAACTTTTTATAAGCTCAGCAGACGGCTCATAAGCAGATGCTTGGGAGAATCTGAGGTATTGCTGAGCACAGGACCCCATTCGGGGGGTCTTCCCTTCTACAGTCCGAGTTGAGGGCATTTATTCATCTGATACTAAATACTTCACTTTTCTCGAAGCATGTGATTTAGTCACATAACATTTATAGAAGGGAGGTAATCTGGGGTAAAGGGGAATTTGTCAAAAGACTGAACACAAACAGACACACTGGGAAAGACGGTGTCCTTGATGAGCAGGAAGGAAACTCAAACCCACACTTATCAATGTTGGGTGGACTTTGGAATCTGAAAACTCACACACAGAGCATGATTCATTTTTCCTAAGTTCTATTCCAGCAAGATACATTATTCATGAGGCCAGCAGGAGAGGGGGAAACTATCCTCAGGTAGTGTTATTTCAGTTTCTAAAGGTACTCCTATTTTCCCATGTACTTAGGTAATGAGCTTTTACCTACATTATGAATAAATAGTATAACTATAAAGTGTGAGCTTTTTTAAAAAAAGTAAATGTTAAACTGAGGGTTCTAGAGGGGAGGAGGGGAGGGGGATGGGTTATCCTGGTGATGGGTATTGAGGAGGGCACGTTCTGCATGGAGCACTGGGTGTTATGCACAAACAATGAATCATGGAACACTGCACCAAAAACTAATGATGTAATATATGGTGATTAACATAACAATAAAAAATTAAAAAAAAAGTAAATGTTAAAAAATATTATTTCAACAACATTCATTTGTATATTTATAATGGTTATCTATATATTGATTAAAAACATTTTGTAATTATTCTTTCAGAAATACCTTTTAGCCACACAAGAAAAATTGGTCTTCTCTTGTTCACTTGTTCTTAAACAGACCAAAAAAACCCCACAGTATTTCCAGCTGGATCCTCAGTCTTTTTCTCCAGACACGGCTACATATGAGTGTTGGCTATTTATAGAAACCAACCGGATACTCAAGTGATTAAATAGGAATATGCCGATTTGAGGTTATTTTAAAGAGGATGAGCTATGAATCTCAAAGGGAAAAATGTCCCTTTACAGTGGAGAGTTGTAGGAGGCACCAATTTTTAAAAAATTTTTTTTAAGTTTAAATTCAATTTGCCAACATACAGTAAGTACATCATTAGTTTCAGATCTAGTGTTCAGTGATTCATCAGTTGCGGATGACACCCAATGCTCATCACAGCGCATGCAGGAGGCACCAATTTAACAAAGCAACCAAACTCAGTGTGGTTCATAGGGAAGTTGGTTAGCACATGCCACCTTCTGTGATGCAATGTGACTGTGTAGCACTACCCATATGAAGGGTCCTTTCCAAAGCTGCATCTGATCATGCCTCTAGACCTAACCCGTTCAATACAGAAAATTGGGGCAATACAGGGACAGGTGAAATGATATGAGGAAATACTCAGAGACAAAACCAGACTGTGGCATATTCTTTAGGACAGCTGACCTAAAATCTTGCAGGGACAAAACTGTAACGTAAGGGGGTAAGGAAAACACAAAATTCTAGAGAGCGGAGGAGTCAGGGGAATGGGCCCAGGGTGGTAGTGCTGGTAATGGTGAGGTCCTGAGTCAGGGATCACACAGGGATCTGTCTTAGTACCAGGCTTCATAATTCACACATATCTATCTTCTTCTGTATCTATCAAGTATTTCACAATAAAATTGATCAAAGAATATTTGGCTATTAAAAACTGTCCCTTGACTTCAGAACATCAGCATTCGAGTATCTGTTCTGCTAACAACTAATCCTAACCCTGAGAAAATGACTAAAGCCAGTCTTCCTTAGTTAAACAATGGTATTGGAACACATGCTCTTTATGCTCCCTTTAAAGTTCTTAAAATTCTTTGGTTTTATTAGAAATTTATCCCCCTCCTCCCCAAGGTATACCCTCACTTCTGGGAAGATGGGTATAGTATTAGCCAGGTATTAAAACAAAAGCTTAAAAACAAATTATACTCAATACAATCTGAAAGGAAATTTTAGAAATTTCTCATTTTCCCAAATAAGAATTTGACAAAGCAATGCCCTTCTTTTGTGTATGTGTAGAGCAGTTTAACCCACAGTAAGTAGGCCCTGGAATAAATCTCCTAATGGAATCTAAGGAAGTCCCTCACACAGCAAAGACTTCTCTACTACTGGTTCAGGAGATCAGTGTGTCAACAGAAGCAAAATGAGCTCAGTATTTACTATCAGTTGAATTCTCCCAACCCATCAAGACTCCCCTTGGAGAGCTATAAAAGTACTAATGACCTTTTCCCAAAACAAACCAACCAAGTTCAAGGACCCCAACTTTGAACTGACATCCAAAGCAGCTTTCTATTATCCTAAAGGCAACAGAAATGAACGACCATCAAAAACTGGACACTATGGCAGGTTTGTGACCGGCCCCTGTGAGAGGAGTCAAGCTCACTGCAAAGATAAGAGACGTTACTTAGGTGTAGCTCATTACGCTTCGACAGAGCCCAAGCCTGAGTCATGAAACCTTCCAGACGCTGAGATTAACATATTACAGCAGATACCGATCTCGTTCTTTTCTAAGGAAAGTGGTCCTTCTCAATTTAACATTCATACTTTGAGGAATAAGATATACAGATCTCTTTGATGTGGAAAATCAATTAAAGGCAGCAGGAGATGAAGCCCTTATCTCTGTTTAGATTCCTCCTTTCCTTCCCAACCACCAAATATAAACATGCCCAGGGCTCAGATGGCTTCCCTCCCTTTGAGATCTGTCCAGCTCAGGATTTAAAGACCTTCTCCATGCGGCCCACTCCTGAATTTCTATGTCGCGCTCCGGTCCCCCGTACCCACTCAGTCTCCGGTACTGTCACTTGAATGTACAGTTGGCATGTCCAACATCCCCTCTCTAAAACTGAACTCCTGTTTCCTCCATCCCAATAAATGCTGGGGTCCCAAACCCTGGGTATTTCTCAGCCCCTCCCACCTCACATACGGTCTGTTGGCAAACGTTGACAGTTCTACCAGGAAGATGCATCCAGAATCGGACCACTTCTCACCAGCACTGTCTGAACCACTGAAGCCTCTTGCCTATATAATCACGATTGCCTCCTAACTGGTTTCTCAGTTTCCACTCTTGCCTCTTTACAGTCTGTTTTCTACATAGTAGCGAGAGTGAGCTTTCCAAAGCACAGGTTAGATCAAAATCCTCCCGAGATCACCCATGTCACTTGGAGGAGTCTAAAATCCCTCCCAAGGCCTACCGTGAGGCCTCTGTCCTATCACTGTTCTCCTAGCTCACTCTGCTCCAGCCACCTTGACCTCCTGGCAGTTTCCCAAACCCGCCCAGCAGGGCTTTGCAATTGCTTCCTGTCTGGGACTCGGCCCCTACCCTTCCCCCCTCAGGCACCCCTAGGGCTGACTCCCTCGCTTCCTCCAGGTCTCTGCTTAAAATGTCACCAGAGACCTTTCCTGACCATCCTAAGATGCCACTACCACGGTTCCTCTCTCTAATGCAGGTTTCTTGTAGTATACACATTACACAGGTATTGTCTTATGCATACCCCATTGACAAAAACTTTTGAGTCTTCTCTGAATATATGAATAACTATAAAGGATACACACTAGCACATAATATATTATGAATTTAACAGAAAACATACACAAAAATAAAAATTGTGAAAGGAGGAGATTTTAAATGAAACCGAAAGCAGCTTCAGCGTGTTCTCCTTGTACCTCAGTGGCAGCGTCTCGCCGCCCCAGGCCGTGCACCCCCTTCGGAGACTACCGTACTCAGGACTGGCACCTGCACTTTCTGTCCTGATGCCCCCTCATCTGAGATATTCCCACTTCCTTCAAAATACTCCTGCAGTTTCCTGTGATTTGTGAAACCAATGTCCTAGGGGCTCTAGACAGCATTGTGTGAAAATGTTCAAGGAAGGAAAGTACCACGTGTGCTGGCCTCCGTCCCTCCTGAGATATCAGGAACACATGCTTTGAATTACCATGAAGGTAAAAGCTGTTACTCAGCTCAGAATGAATCAGGTTCCTCTGTGATAAGGAAATCCCAACATTAAACATGCAGTTTTTTTCCTCCCGGACACTTCCCCCAAGAAATTGTTATTGTTTATAAGAGAGCTGAATCATAGGAACACATGTACAAAAGAATCAGAATTTTATGGGCCTTATAACAACAACAAAAAAAACCCTTTCAGTCAATAGCTACTTAATAGGACAACAGATCAGAGTGTCTTAAGTCGTCTACGGCCATACCACCCTGAACGCGCCCGATCTCGTCAGAGTGTCTTAAGTCTTTCCAGTAGGACACTCACAAAAAAGCTTCATTAAAATTGTATTTGAGGGGCATCTGGGTGGCTTCAGTTGGCTGGGCGTCTGCCATTGGTTCAGGTCATAATCCAGGGGCCCTGGGATGGAGCCCCGCATCGGGCTCCCTGCTCAGTGGGGAGCCTGCTTCTCCCTCTCCCACTCCATCTCCCTTTGTGTGCTGGCTCTCAGTCTCTCAAATAAATAGATCTTTTAAAAAAAATTGTATTTGAAACAAAATACTTACGTGCCCCAATGTACTTTAATGGAACAAGTCTTCTGCATTATACCAAACCCCTGCATCTCTTCAGTGTCATCAAAGTAAGAATTTAGGAGTCCTAACCCTTCCGGTTCAGTATATAAGTCAATCTGACTAACTCTGTAATCCTGGAGAAAAAAAAAAAAAATCACACATATTTAATAATTACACCATGTACTTAACTTTACAATAAGCTCATTATCCTTTTTTTCAAATAATTAAAATAAATTTTGAATACACATACATTTCACAGAGCACCTGCAGTCTATCCCTTCCCCGTTTTCAGCCATGACTTAATAATACGTGGTCTTACGGGGCAGCCATGTTGCTTTAGCCATCTAGCTCTGTGTTACATTCAAGCAAAAATCCCCAGAAATGTATTTTTTTTAAAGATTTTATCTATTTATTTGACAGAGAGACACAGTGCGAGAGGAAACACAAGCAGGGAGAGTGGGAGAGGGAGAAGCAGGCTTCCCGCGGAGCAGGGAGCCCGATGTGGGGCTCGATCCCAGGACCCTGGGATCATGACCTGAGCCGAAGGCAGACGCTTAACGACTGAGCCACCCAGGCGCCCCAGAAATGTATTTCATTAGAGTTCTGGAACATATTTATTTCTCTCATCCTCACTGAAATAACTGCTTGGCTTTCCTTGGTGATTGGAGTGTTAGTTGCTTTACTCGGACATGACCATGCAAGTCCAGAGGTTCTCTAGTCCATAGAGGGGCTGCATTTGGGGCCTTCCTCAACTGCTGTTTTATGCCTATAAACTCCCTGTGGTAACTCTCTTTGACTGTGGACCAAACCGCTATGTTGGTTTGGTCTAAGTTGTGAAAGCAATGGTACACATTTACGGTGATTTACAAATCTCTGTACTATGGTCCGTGTACCATGCCCTGCACATCCTGCCCATCAAACACTTCAAAGGTCTCTGCTGGTTGAGTGCCTAAGTGCTATTCGAACACTTGGTGTTTTTATTTTAAATTTTAAATAATTTTAAATAAGTACTGAACTTGGTGTTCTCTTGCTGAGCTCTGTGAATTGAGATACAGAAGAAATGACACTTGGGTAGGTTCAGGCGAGGCTCTCTTAACCATTACCAAAAGGAACAGATTTAATAAACTAAAAAGGTGACCTCTTCAATATGTTGTGATTTATATTCATGTTTCAAGTAACCATAAACATAATCTGTAAAAAAAAATAAATCATAATATATCAGGACCATGGATGTACCCCTATCCTTTAACATGACACCATTCAGAAAAATTCATCCCAATAAATCAGCAAGTTATAAACAATTAAATGCACAAAAATGCTCATCCTGCATTATTTAAAACAGTAACAAATCTAGAAACAACCTTAAGTTCCACGGAAAGAAGGTAAAATAAATGATGGTACATCATTTCTTGGAAACCCCAAACCATGTAGTAGCATGAAGAGCATGAATTGCATTAAGTTGGCTATTATCAGGCGAAACAGGAGGCCCCTCTTTACCAACATGCTGCACTTCCCTTACCCTACCATCCCTGAGTGCCTCTAAATCCCCACCCGTCAGAATCTGACACAGTTACACATCAGCGAGAGATGTTGACCAAAGGGAGTGTGATCTTCAGGGAAACAGGTATGGAGAGAGAAAAAGGATTGAGGGCTTCAGTTTTTTGTTTTGTTTGTTCGGTCTTGTTCTGTTTTTTCCTTAAGTGGTGGAGCCCAAGGTGGGGCTTGAACTCACAACCCTGAGATTATCATGATTATCATGATTACAACTACAGAAAAAGCAGACTGGAATATGGTCAAGACAGCAGAGAATTCAGAAAAATTAAGAGAGGATATCTCATGATGGTGGATTGGGATTATATGTTTAAATACGGCTTTATTACCAATATTAGTCGAGCCATAAATAGAAAGTGCAGGTGAATTATCCCACTGACTATGACATTTTTAAACAGGGATCCTCATGTCTTCTGTAAGATTTATCGTATTATGTACTTAAAACTATTAAAAGATAAATCATTTAGAATACCAGTGATCACTGAAGTCACTCAGAAATGTTGACTTAAGAATCAAGTGGCATTTTCCTCTGCCAAAAACTGTTACTCATTCTCACTCATTCTCATTTCACAACACTCCTTATCTTCCTATTCATGAAAACGCCCAACTCTGTTACACAAATGGGGTTTTAATCTTCCACTCAGAAGATACCATTGCCTAGGTTTTTAAAGGTAAAGAATCATCAAATCTCAACAGCCACACAGAAAGACAACTTCCTCATCAACAAATAAGGAACCAAGACATTTTAGCCAGTCCCTAAAGTGACCTCAACTACTTACTGTTCTTAAACCTACTTGAAACCCCAGAGTTGAACTTTCAACTGGATTATTTTGGGATTATTTTTCCAAAATAGAATTCCTATAAGCCACTCAAGGTAATCAGAACTCACACAGCAACCAAAAAACAAAGTAAAAGAAAAATCTGTTCATATAGAATTCATCCAAATCAGGTTATTAAGTAAAATACACTTTGGAGAACGGATGGGGGACAGGAGTGAGAAATTAACCTTCAAGATTTTTTATGAAAAAAATGACTAATCAGTTAGAATGTTTCTTTTCTAATTCAAGTGTACGAACACTTAAGTTATAGAAAATATATTCATAGAGCACCAATCAAGTATTTTTCCCAATCACTTATTTCATAAAATGAACTTTTCTCTCAAAGAAAGAATCATCCCTGGCATTCAATAAATACTTGCTGAATGAATCAATGGATTCTGATTTTCCCATAACGTACCTGGACCACATGTCTGATTGAACCAATCACCATGGGCTTAGCAGACTCTGCCTCCTCACTTCTTTCCAAAACATCTTCTATACCCCAGAGACCAGAGAGTTCCAATTCTCCTTCTTCTAAGGGGATGGAGTGTCCTTCAAAATTTGGTTTCTCATAGAAAATCCAACTAAGAGTAAAACACAGCGAAACTATTAGCTGGTGTTGGTGAGAGAGGTTTTGATGACTCGAATATTCTAGCCAATAGCCTCCCCCCACCCCGTCCTCTGCTTCCCTCTCCTTCTCCCCTGCTCTTCTCTTTCTCTCTCACATATTGTGGCCAATTATCATATATATACTGGCCAATTCTCTAGTAATTAAAATGTATAAGCTCTCTCTAAAACTAAATTTACTGGGCATAATTAAGCCTCTGAAAATCCAAAAACCGTATCAGGATCTTAAAGAACTTTTGGTATCAATATAAACATCGTAGAGTCACTAACATTCTGTAGAACGGTCAGTTGGCAAACAGTTATAAATGGTAATACATCAGATAAATGGACTTTTCCTAGAATTCTTTTTTCTCCTTATACGTGTAGAAAACAATTCTAGAGGGATTTTACTTATATTCTAGAACTATATCAATGGATATATTGATACAAAGTACCATATGCATGTTAATGGAGAGCATTTTAAAGATATCCTTCCCAACAACAAACAACCAAACACTAAAGAAAATTTCATATCAATATATGACAGTGCTGCTCTTAGATGCTTATGCTTTTAAGAGAGAAGCCAACAAAAGCTGGAAAAAAAAAAAAAAAAGAGCACTGGGTGCCTGGGTGGCCTAGTCGGTTAAGCATCTGCTTTTGGCTCAGGTCATGATCTCAGGGTCCTGGGATTGAGCCCCACATCAGGCTCCCTGCTCAGCGGGGAGTCTGCTTCTCCCTCTCCCTCTCTTTCTCTGATAAATAAGTAAAATCTTAAAAAAAATAAAGAGCACTATTATATTAAAAACAAAATTTATACAATATTGGTTTTTAGTGTTATTTTCGGTCTTCAAATTTAAGAACAAAAGCTAATTATATTTTTGTGATGAATGTGTTGAATACATAGAAAAACATTAAAATATCTAAAACCTAACAGGAAAGATGCTGCATATATAATCAAATGAAAAAAAAAGCAAACCTTACTAGTTTTTTTAAACCACAAATGTCTAAAGCCCAATCTTCTTTATTTCAAACAAGATTGGTATCAAAGATAAGTCCTTTTGCCAGATAAGTGATTTATTAAAAATGGCTTTTCTTAATTCAACTTCCTGTGTATTTCCTAGAAGCTGTCAAGCTGGTAAATATTTTTTTCACCACTTTCTTTAATCAAAACCATCAGTTGCTGAAAAGTTGGAAAATAAATTTTAGGTTAGTCATTCACAATGTCTTTTCTTATAGAACATTTAAAAATCTACCAACATGACTAGCACAATTCTTCCCAACCTCACTGAAAATTCATAAAGCAGAAGTGTTAGTGAGGACTCCAATGTTCGGTACTCCCAGCCAGTGTGATGTGGGGGTATATGGGAAAAAGAAAGTTGTACTGCTGCACGTGCCTGACTTTTCTAGCATAAACAGGCATCACCTCTATAAAGCAGAAATGTGGTTAAAAAACGTAATTTCTTAGATATGAATTTCCTGTAATACCCCTAAGACTAGTATTTTCTGCCCTTTATATTACTAAAGGCATAATTTTAAATAAGTACTGAAGACCAAAAAGGTAACTAAAAACATAAAACACAAACCCTCTAAAAATCAGGAACAGAGAGCACCATTCTTACCATCCTCTGACGACCTTGACGATTACCACCGGAGAGAGGCTCCAAGAGCTGCAATCCTCAATGTCACTGAAAACTTCAATGCACTCATCAGAGACATCCGAGTCCCTGTAGATCACTACCTACAAGAAAATGGAAGTGGCAGCAAATGGTTGAATGGTATCAGACCAAAATAAAATCTAGGCTAGAAACAGAACATCATCTTACCTTTCCAGGTCGGGGATTGATTTTATTTGTAAGACTTCCTCTAAGTGTCTGTAATCAGATGAACAAAAACACAACAAATTAAACTTTGTGTAACATCCTGCAGAGTTTCTCTGCCCATGATCAGTTAAGATCATATTTATTTGCCTCATAATTCATCAATTTTGAAACAATCCACCGTCATCTGTGCCAAAGCTATATTAAAGCTCCCTTTGAGTCTGCACTATTAAATTGAGAGGCTTTTCTCCTCTAAATGTGCATTTTTAACCATAAAAAAGACTTAGAGAAAGTATGAAACACTTTGTTTCCCCTTTTTACTCCACTTGGCTTGATTTTTCAAGGGATTCCACAGGGAAACTATATATTCTGTTGTCAGACTCATCAGACTGCTCTGGAATAAAAGAAGTGATCTAAGACTTATTAAAAAGAGAAAAGAAGGCTGTAATGAATGGGAAGTAGACCAGTGGAAATTTTGTGTTTGAGAGAAATACCTAAAAATCTTCTGATTTCTGAGTGCTACGGGCTGATTCGGTTTTGTTTGTTTACAGCAGTGGTTCTCAAAGTGTGGTCCTGGGGCCCCTGGAAGATCCCCAAGAACCTTTCAGGAAGTCAATGAGGTCAAAATGCTTCTCGTAAGAAGAAGAAGGTATTTTCCCTTTTCAGTCTCCTTCTCTCTTTCACTCTCTCACAAGAGTGCAGTAGAATTTTCCAGAGGGTCCAGGACATGTGATGACACCACTGCTCTGATGATTAATGGAAGGTGTGCTCGTGTGTTCTCATGCTCTAAATTTTTCTTACTGTTAGCTTCTAATATAATCAATTCCAGTTGGCATTACTCATGTGAACAAAAGCTCTTTGGGGCCCTCAATAATTTTTAAATATAAAGGTGTCCTGAGACCCAAAAGTTTGAACATTTTTGAAAAGGGGGATCTGAACTTCTGATGGGCACACAAACATATGTTTTGAAAGAGCTTCCAAAATGATATTCTATGCTAGGCTTGAGCCAAAGCCCACGCAACAAACGGAAACAGGCTGCAGTACCCGTTCAAATGAGGAACAGGGCATGGTATCTTCTGGTGGATTATGCTGTGCTGCAGAATGGTCTACACTGGCCAGACAGCCTAGCTCACAGTGTGGGCAGCAGGAATGCAGAGGCCCCCTCCTGTTTTGGGGCTAGCAGAGCTGCCTTCTAGAACTTATATTCTGCCTTCCTCATTCACTGTCCTCTCTCCATTTGAGTGTCACGCTTGGTAACAGAAAGACACACAACTCACACCAAAAACTCAGTAAAAAAAAAAAAAAAAAAAAAAAACTTCTGGAATTCGGATAAAAGAAGATGGAGAAATCATAACGGTTCCTCAAAATCATATTTTGCTGCCCTTTCTGCAATATTAAAGGAAAGATCCCATGTAGACCAAAATTCTTTCTGCCCCAACAGCTTGGTAGGAAAAACTGTTTCCCTGATGAAACTTCCAAGTAAAGAGAAATGACTTCCTGAATTGCATGGGATAATTATCTAATGCTACATCTAATGTAAGAGTGAATCTTACATCACAAGAGAAGGGTTAGGAATAAAATTTCTTGGTGGGGCTTTTCTGAATAAATGAAGCAGCTTTACAGATCTTCAAAATTCTAAGCAGAGCATTGAGCATTTTTACACAGAACTAGGTAAGAAAAAAAAACTTGTCTGTCTCTGAACTCTCAAGGTACCTTACCTACACCTTTCAGAATACAACATATATATTCATAAGCCTTAAAATATGTATAGCTTAGTTTCCTCACTAAAGTACCAATACCTTGAAGACAGAAATCTTAGTAGTTTTCTCCTTGGCCCCTAGCAGTCCTTTATACACATAGTAGGTTTTCAATGTGATAAATGAATAGACAACTATCATTCACACGCACAGCCATTTGAAAGAACATGAATTGCTCATCACCCCTCTCTCCTCTCATTTTATAAATACCCCCAATAAATGGTAATATGTTGCTACTTACGGTTGTATCTGATAATGACATTGCAGAAAAAGACATGTTTGGGTCAAACCGGCTGGATTTGAAAAGACCCATGAAGTCCGTGTCGCTATTTCCATAGTTCAGCAAGTTCGGCTTAAGAACACTCTCAACACGATTAGCCTTTTCCAGATCATCACCGTTCTTCAGTTTAGAAAATTCAGAAAATTTCGTTTCTGGCAAGTGTAGGTTGCTTCGTGAATCCAGGTCTTCTTTGGTTTCCTCTTTGGGCAGGTATTTCTCCATGTAGCTTGCACTTTTCAAACCCAAAGGAGACGCATTTGTTGAGTCGAAGTTGAAGACCTTTACGTTGCTCGGTGGAAGGTTTGGCTGCTCTTTGTCTGCACCGCAGGGCGGGGCACTCTCAGCCCTGGGCGGTAATGCCGAAGCCCGAGAAAGAGAAGTGTTCTGAGGAGTGCTGAAAGATGTGGTCATGGTACTGACTGATGTCACAGAGGGAGAAAAGATTTTGTCTTGCGGTAAAGAAGGCAGCATGCTGGAAAAGAGTGCACTTTTTTCTAGCCTGGATCTCTTGACTCCGCCATTGGGTACATCTTTGTTCTCTTTGTCATTTGTCTCCGCAACCGTCGAAGGTTCGTCTTTCCCATTAGTGTGAGTGTACAAGGACTTGAACAGGATACTCTGCTCGGTGGATGTGCGTTTGGGCCTCAGGTTGGATTTTGTGTAAAGGTTCTGCATCAGATGTAAAGCTGGTGACATTTCTGGCTGGCTTTCCTTCTTCTTCCCCAAACCAAAGGTAAACACATTGGGATCTAACACCTTTTCTAAATTGTCCTCATGAATCGGAGGCATGACAAAAGGAGGGGCAGGTGAGTTGGGCACCCTGGCCTTCTTTTTCTTCTGAGGCACACAGATGGTGCTGTCCATCTTTTTGATAATTTCGGTGAATTTTTCCATATCTGAAGAAGAATCAAATACACTGTCATCACTACCTGCAGAGATGTTCAAAAGACTGGCGGGGCTGGCCTGCCCATTCACAACATTTTCGTCTGGACTTTGAGGAGTTTCTAAATGATCTCTGCTGCCAGGGTCAGCCTTCAGGGGTTTTCTATCGCCCTGACTTTGAGCCTGTATAGGCAAAGCTTTCTCAGATTCTGGTGGCATGACTTGTGGGTCAGATTTTGCTGCATGTTCCTCTTCGCAATGAATGTGCTTGGATGAGGGGCTCTCATTGCCCAGCCCTTCCTCTTTCTGGGGAGCACAGCTTGCAACAGAAACCACTTCAAGGTCATGGTTGTGACAGCTTGGCAACGGTGCTTCTCTAACTTCAGAGCTCTCAGAAATGACCTGGGAGCCCACATCTTGGGTGCTCTCCACAGGGAGCATGAAGGACCGGACCTGGACCAGGACCTTGGATGGACGCTCCATTCCCACAACTTCTGGGCTGTGCTCTGTGGACAGAGGAGGAGGGCTCGCTGCTCCTCCTTCTCCTCCTCCTGTGGGTTTGGAGGGTGGTCCTTTCTCCTCATTTTTATGTGACACAGGCAGAACACATTCATGATGATTTTCTGACACTTCTAGATCAGTGCATGGAACATTGCTTCTGGGAGCTTGAACATGTGTGTCTTTGGGTGTGGGCTGTGAGAGAGAAGGCCCGTTGGGTGACTCAGATGGGGGCTGTGAGTCAGAAAATGTATCCTGTGGCTTTGGTCCGGCTGTTGGAGGGGAATCTTTGGTATCAAGAATGGCGGGAACGTCCTGTGCTGGATCAGTCATATTTTCGAGTGCAAGTCTTTTGCTGTCTGCAGCCTTTGAGTCATCCTCTCCTAAGGGCTTGTGGTCCTTCACAGGAATCAGAGCAGTAACCACTGCTTCGGAAGGGCAGCCAGCATCTGTTTGCATTTCTGCTCTATCACCCTGGTTAAGCAGAGAACCAAGAGCTGGACCCTCGGTAGGCTCAGCCTCCATCCCTCCTGCACTGGGGCTCCCGGCTGCTGGTGGGATCTCCTCCTCCATAACTTTGGATTCTGGCGAGGTTTCCTTCACCAGCATACCATTCTGGTGACTATTTGGCATTACTTTCTTTTCAGATTGCTCCATCTCTTTGGCTTTTTTGGCTAAATTCAGCTTCGCCCTCCCGACAAAGGTTTTATTACAGGTAGGAGTGTTCCTTGTGCCTCGAATGTCAGCATATCTTGGGCTACTGTTGGCCCGTTTGTTTTCAAATAAGGAGATTTTGTTGGCAGTGTTTCCTTTATGAACTGGCTGGCTAAATGGATTATGCTCATTTCCCAAACCGTCAGGATTCTTAGGAGTTTTAAGATTTAGTTCCACATGTTTGGGCTTGGCCGGGCTGCACAAATAAAGCAGTAAGATAAAGTTATTGACCTAGTTTTAAAAAGTGAACATACCAATTTATTATAAAACATTTATTATTATGAAAAGCCAACATCTTTCTGGTAAGTAACATTTGTTTTTTTATGAGACTATTTTAAAAACAATCCTAAATACACTATCAACTATTTTTAGTGGATGCTTTGCTTCTGTATGATAGATGAGAAAATTTTATAGCTAAGAAAGTCAAGAGGTGGGAGGTTAGCAAGTTTATCAAGTATCTAATATGTGAGCACAGTGCTCAACGCTAGAGTCAGAAGACATCTTAGGGCTTGAAGAACATTAGATTGAATTTATATATTTAATGTACTCCCTTATTTTAAGTATGTAAATGATTTCCCCAAACATCAATTGTGTGTTTTTATTTTATTTTTAAACATTATTTCAAAGGGCTAGATTACAAAAATATTTATCTATTATTTACCTCTTTGGATATTTTATCCCCTTCATCTTCCTTCATATAACTTTACTCTGATTATATAAGTGTGTTCACTACAGAACATTTGGAAGATATAAAAATGAAAAATCACTCATACTCCTACCACTCAAACAATTTCCCTGTTAACATTTTAGTATAGTCTTCGTGTATACATACCAAAATATTTTTAACAGAATTGGAATTATTCTGTTCATAGAGTTTCAGATCTTGTCTTTAAAAAAAAAGATTACTCTTATATTTCACATTTTTCATTTTCAAGTTACTAAAAAATTTGAAGTTTTCCTAATGTCTGCATAAATTTTCATCATATGGATGTACCATAACTTACTTATCAGTAAATTAACTAACTCAATTGTTAGTTAAAAAAACTAACTCAATTGTTAGTTTTGTCACCTTTTTGGAGGCAAAGGGAGTCTCCCCTTACTCTAGAAACTATAATGTTTCTTGGTTATTACTCCCTAGTGGAAATCATAAATCTTTGAAGGTATGCACTGTTCTCTTTCTGAGAAACAAAATGTTCTCTCTATGACATTCACCAGCCCTGGTCCTGGCTCTTACACTGATTATCTATGTGAGCTTGGTCAAGTTAACTCACTGGACTCGCTACCTTCTCTACCTGGAAAAGACAAACTAGATAGTTTAGAACAGAACTGGTCCTCTCCCCACCCCCATCTTCCCCAAGGAATGGCTGAAGGGATTCTGGGGGTTCTCTTCAACAGTTACAGTGCGGACAATAGAGCTGGAGGGCCGGAGCTGGGGCCAGCCCCCCTCCTTTCAACCAGAAGCACTTCTACTTATCTGTTTCATATATCACTTTTATATAAGTTTTCCTAGAAGAATGGGCTCCAAAGCTAAACACAAAAAAATGTCTGAACCATGGGCCTAGTGGTTTCTGAAATGAAGAGATAATAACCACTAACAATCACTGATTGACACACACTTGACAAACACTCTGCTTGCCTAATGTACTATTTTATACGTTCTCTTTTAAGAGGAGGAAGTTGAAGCCTAGAAAAGGCAGGTAATTTGCCAAAAGTCATATGCCAGTGAGTGACAGGGCCAGGGTTTGAAACCAGGTGTTCTGGTCTCAGAGGAAATGCTCCTGACCACTCTACGCTCCTACATCCCCAGACCTCAGGGGCCAAATCTGGTTCTTTCCAGCTTTACCTATTCAAGAAGTCAATGAATTAGCATGAGATCTGAAGCAATCATACTTTGGAGGCCACCTTGATAATGAAAAGTAGAGACACACAGAAATCTCATGCTGCCTCCACAAGGATTCATTGACCTTCAAGAAAGAGGAACCTTTTGAAGGAACAGGCAATAGGACTTTGGGTGAGACACCTTATCCCTCTGGATAAAATGAGAAGACTGAAAAGACTTGAGAAGTCCTTCCCAAATATGGCATTAGGAATTTAGATTTTTATTTTTAGGAATTTGATTTAAATACTAAATTTGATATTCTCTCATGAATTTCTCTTAGGCATTGCTTTCTCCAGTATCTCCATAAGATAGCTAGGCTCCCTCATGGTGGGTGCACAGCTTAAATTTAAAAAGAAAATTAATTTACACACACTACCTTGAAGATTAAATTCCAAAACCAGTGGAGTAGAAATGGAGAGCTTACAAATGCCATCAGCTAATGAAGGATGTTCACATACCAGTACATATACATTTTTAAAAATTCTCACTAATCAGCTCAAGGAACAGTCAAACATCAAAGTATATCTTACTATGTAAATGGAAAACACCAAAGGTTAGCCAACAAGCTACCTTAAGGACAGGAACCACATCTGCACATTAAAGATTTACACCAAGATCAAAATATATTTTACTACCAAACTTTCTGTGTTATTAAGTTCTGCGACTAAGAGTCACTACAATTAACCTAGCTCAAACTGATTAAAAGGAAGGCTTCTATAATTCATGTTTAATACCTTAATACCTTTATTATAATGTGAGAGGGGAAAATAATCTGGTGTCTTAAAAAGCCATGGCTAGGAGAGGAAAATTTTCCTTATTCTAAATATACCATTGTTAAGAATCTCAACATTCAATACTTGGTACAGAATTGAAGATGTAATTTTTCTAACAGGATCAAGAAACTTGCTGTATGTCCTTTTTCAGGGAATATAAAATAATTTTAACTAAAACATCAGACGCAAATTGTTTTTAAAAATAATCTGAATAACATTTCTTCTTGAAATACAATCAGAGGAAAAAAACTGGGGGAAAAATCCATTAAACAGAAAAAAACTAGAAGGAATTAATTTCCCATTTCAATAGTTTGCCAATTCACCAAGCATGAGACCCTGTGGAAAACACAAGCCAAATGCCTTGTAAAGGGAAATTTTTTTGGTAGAAAATAATCGGCACAGAGAAAACGTTTGATTTAGTGCTTGTACCGAAAACAGCACATGAAGAGTTCATTATAAGAACGTTTCCCAGGTTTGTTTACCCTACTCCTTGTAACATTTCTGGTTTTTCCACTGGCCTTCTGCAATTGGAAGGCAGGTAAGGCATCCTTACACAGCTCCACAGCAACATTTCTCTAAGCTCACACTTAGGAGGTTTGAATATTCAGTCACACTGGGCCTTCTACAAATAATGGGCATCATTTACTCCGGTTACTTCTCTGACACAGCTGTTACAGAATAAATAGCTGGCTTTATCAAAGGTCTCCAGGTTGGCAACTGGGGAGGTAGCACACATTACTCATTAAGTAGGTTCTCCCTCAAGTGTTTACCAAACAGACCTCCTACTCTAAAGCTTACTTACTCAAGAATTCAAATAGAATGAAAACCATTCGGTTTCAGAATCAAAATGCTGTGAAAATACCGGCTCTTTTAATAAATGTGCAAATGTGGGAAAAACTCAGGCAGTTAGATATTCATTTTTCACAGGCGCTAGCTGGGAGGTGAGGAAGTGAGAGTGTGGGAAGGGGAGAGGATCTTGAGTTTTAGAGCAAACCCTCCCTACCCCATCCACCTATACAAACCTCAAGTTAGCCTCAAGGCACTAGCCCATCTCCAAAAAGCCAACAAGTGATTTCTCCTGCTTTGCACTTCCCCAGACTTTACAGCAGATAACCCACTCAGCAGTTCCCTCAGCCACCACCTCATACAGTTATTTATCTGCATCTTGCATGCCAGAGTGGGCCATAAACTTCTCAGGAGCAATATACTGAGTCATAGTCTGAGTTTTTCCTCATAGTTCCTGGCACAATACCATGCACAGAAGGCACTCAATAAATATTTGGGGGGGGGGAATCAATGAACTTAATAGCAGGTAATCAGTCTGTTGTTGAGCTTGATCCTTCCAATGTGTCCTTTGATTTAACAAAGTCCCCCAGTAAGAACACTATTCTTTCTTTATTTCAATAACTAAGAATTACTCTTTAACCTGGGGGCAAAAATGCCACTAACCCCCTGAACATTCTAAGGAGGGGAATTAGAAATTTTAAGCTGCACTAAATTCCAGAAAAAGTTCTATGAATTCTCTTAAACCCACACATGTCAAAGCTACTACTGGGTCATACTGAACCTAAGAGTTTTTGATCCATGTTTCCAGATCCACTGCATAGGTGTTTCAAGAATGCCCTATCCAGGAATGCTGCTGTACATTTTGAATAAAGGATTAGCTCATGTCAGGCCAAGCGGTCTTCTTTCAATTGTTGATGTAAACATTGAGCCTCAAGAGATTTTTACATTCATTCAACTTAAACATTCTATCAGAACAGTAATTAACAACCCGGCTATCCTCCCGAAGTGTCATCTTCTTAAACTGTGTTAATTGGCCCTTCACTATCTCTGTTTCAACACAGAGGGGAAAACTCGGCGCACAGATAGTTCTGCCACAAATGCAAAGACCCCGGAGCCTCCCGGAAACACCACCCAGAACGTCTGCGGACACCCACAGCTCCACCAGGCCCCGGTCCGCGGCTACTTACAGGGTCACTTTAGTGGTCACTGTCGACCTGCCCGCACCGAAATGGTGCCTGGGCTTCAAGCCGTCCAAGTCGGAGCCACCGGTCGATCTGCCCAGCTCTTTGCTTCGACTACCTTCTCCCCGGCTGTCGAAGTGGTTGGGGAACAGGCCCCTCTTGTGCTCGGGCTTGATCTCTGGCAGCAGCGAGCTGCTCTTGACGGTGAGCTCGCGGGGGACGACCCGGGCCGCCTCCTCCCCGTTGTCCCCCGCGGTGCCCTTGGCGACGGGATCGGGCGCTGGCGCCCTCTTTGGGGGGAACTCCTTGGCGGGAGCCCGAGGGCCGCCGGCAGGCGAGGTGGGCGCGGCCTCGGGGACGCGGCTCTTGCCCCTCCTCTTGGTGGGGGACGAGGACGGCGGCGGCTGTTTGCCCCGGTCGGACTCCCCGCGGAGCGGCCCCCTGGAACCGGGGCTGGACTTGGACTCCGCGCCCGCAGCGGAGGCAACGCCCCCGTCGGGGGCCGCCCTCGGAGATTTCACTTTCTTTTCCGCAGAGCCGTTCTCCGTGGCCGCGTTTGGCGCCACCTCGTAGTCGAACACCGCGTCGTCGTCGCCCGCGCTCTCGGGCAGCGGCGTGTCCGCCCCGGGGGAGTCGGTGGATTTCTGCGACCTTCTCCGCCTGCCCGACCTGCGGCCGCCCGACCTTTTCTCCATATCGTTAGAATCGCCGCAGTCTTCTGCGCCCGGGGTAGTCGCGCCCGGCTCGTCCACCTGTGCCACCTCAGTCTTGCTCAAGTAGATGTCCAAAGTTAACACGGTGGCGGGGTGGGCGCGCTCGCCGGGCCGGCCCTGTCGCCCTCGGGGCCCGGCTTTGCCGTCTGCCTGCGCCGAGTCGGAACAGTTCCCCTCGCCCTCGGCCCGGGGGTCACCTGGCGGAGCGGACGCGTCCTCAGGGGGCTCCAGAGAGCCTGCCCCGGCACACACACTGGGGGCTCTGTCAGCGGCCTCGCCTCGCCCCCCCGCAGGCCGCTCCCCGGTGGGCGACCCCAGCACACCCCTCGCACCCTGGGCTGTCTCCCGCTCGCAGCCAGCGCCGGGGGAAGCGTCCTCCCCCGGACTGCCAGCCGGCGTCTCTGCGTTCCCTTGCCTGGAGGAATTCTCAAGTGAGGAATGCAGCTGCTTGGCAGCGGTGGTGGCACCTGGGAAAGACTCTCCCTCTGCCTCCAGAGGTTCTAATTGGAGTGACTCACTCTCCTGGCACTGCTGCACAGCCGCCGCACGGCTGCTCGTGGAAGGTGACAGCTCGGCGTCGCGGGGGGCTACCCGCACGCGGGTCTCGGCGTGCTCCTCCGACTCCCGGGGCTGCTCCTGCGGGGAACCCTCCTCGCACGTGTCTTTCTGCTTTGGTTGGCTGCCCTGGGGTTTACTCTTATTCTCTCTTTCCGGGAGTTTGGAAGAGGTTACATCTTTGGGAGACACTGATTTGGCATCGGAGCTGGCGGGACCCTCTAACCCGTTTCTGCTGGTCCTTCTCCTTCCAGCCGTGAACAGATTGCCAAGTTTTCCCAAAACTGGCTTCCTTTTGTTTTCTTCTGGTGGTTGTGCTCTGGACTGGAAAACAAAAGGGGTTGGGGGAGAGAGAAACTATGAGAATCTGGTTTTCCCCCTCCTTAGTAGTAAGTACATTGCAGAACTACAAGCCACAATGGTAAGAAACCAGTCTAACTGAAAATTAGAGTTGTGTTTTTGTTACATTTATTCCAACAAAATAAACTCAGATTTTCAAATTTTTCTTAAGCCGCATCTATGTTAGGCGCTACTTGGAATAACAGTTCCTTTAACTATAATTCTTGTGTTTTAAAGGAGAATTCGGGCGGTCCAAATAATCATATATTCAAAATAAAGAATCCCCAGGTCTCTCTAGCTTTTGCCTTTTTACCTTCTTCCTCAATAAAGATGCAATTTCAAAACAGCCATGCGTGACTACAGGGCAGCAGTAAACACACTAAAGTATCTTAAAGATTTTATTTATTTAAGAGAGAGGGCAAGAGCCGGGGTGGGGGGACAGGGGCAGAGGGAGAGGGACAAGCAGACTCTCCGCTGAGCAGGGAGCCTCCACGCTGGGCTGACCCCAGGCAGGACGGCAGCTCCCGACCTGGGCCGAAGTCAGATGCTCAACCAACTGAGCCACACAGGAGCCCCTAAAGTATCTTAAAGGAGAGGGTTTTTTGTTTTGAAACACCGCCCTTTCTTTTTATAAGAAGAAAGGAAAATGAGTAAAAAGTTCTAGCACTCTTGTCTAGAACAGGAAGAAGCCACCTGGGGTGTAACACAACTGCAAATGAAAACTCTTTAGAAAACCAGGATTCGAGCACCTGGGCCGGCGGGTAGCCAGGCTAGTGGTTCCCGGCGGTCCGGGCCCGCACTTCTCCAATGGGAGAAGTACGCGGGCATTCAAACGCCCGCTGGTCCCCCCAAAGCGATGCGGCCGCTCTGGAGCTCACCCGAGAGGCCTTTCCCCCGCGGGGAGCTCCTAGGAGTGCAAATACGGGGAGTACCTGGAGGAAGGAGGGCGAAGGTGGAGGGCGACCACGGTCGCATACCAGCCTCTCCGGCCGGGGGGGGGGGGGGGGGGGGGGGGGGCGCCGAGAGACCCGAGCGCACCTGGCTCTGCCCACGCCGACCTCAGCCGGAGGCCCGTCCCTCACCGCCCCGCAGGGCTTCAGGCGCGAGCCCAGGAAGCCGACCCACCCGTGGGAAGGGGACCGGGCCGCCCGCGTCGTTCCGCACGGATTCGGGGAACGGAAAAACGTGCACCTCCTACATAGCCTGGAGCCAAACGGCCCGCACCTGGTGCCCGCGCCGGACGCGGAGGCGGCTCTGAACTAATCAATAAAAGCAAACCTGCCAGTGGGCGCTGCGGCGCCCCGCGGTTTGCCTGGAGAGGGGGTAGGTGAGGGCCCGGGGCAGGCAGGAAGAGGAGGAGGCCGTCCTAGGAAAGGGTAGGCTCCTAAGGGAAGGCGGCGTGCTCGGCGTGACGAACCCACTGAAACCAGGACCACACGTGTGGCTACAATAACCCAAGAATTACCTCTTCCACTTAAAACCTGGGAGCTAGCTTGAGCCCCAACTTTCCTGGAAGGCGAACATTCAGGGCAGTTTTTACAATATTGACTGTTTACAGAGAGATTTCTGAATCACTGTTCAAAGCAGCTCCATTTCCTTTGAGTTATATGCCGCCAGTGGACTTTGGAAGTGGTGGGAAATAGGAAAGACTGTAAGATAAACCACGGAAATAAACATGGTCAACAAGCATTTATTGAGACAGCTCCGGCAGGCAGTGTAACATGTAATTCTGCGACAGCCTGGCTCCGACGCAAAGAGACGAAGGGGGGCGGGGGTAAGACAATAAAGTCAGGATCAAGCCCAAGTCCTCAGCTTCCAACACGTGCTCCTTCAGCTCCACCACGGCGACTCCTTTCAGAGGACGGGGAGGTGCAGAGGGCACCCCGAGACAGAGTCAGCCCAGAGGAAGAGGTTGTATGCAGGCCATCCACCCCCAGAATCGGCTCCTGAGGAAGTGCTCATGAACCACATTTACTGACAAGCCCTGAGTGATTCTGTTGCTTTGAGAAGCACCTAGCGGGAGCTTTGGAACTAGCTAGCTGCTGCATGAGGAGATGGGCCCGTGCTGCAGCCACTGGGAGCTTTTGTGACTGAACTGATACACTTCTAAACTCTAGTCAGATTTTGATTAATAATTCAATCCCACAATGGTTATATAAATAATATAGGAAGAATTCACGGTGTGATTTAAGAAGAAAAATAAACATTCCAACTACCTAAGGAATATATTTGGATTCTTACTCTAAGTCAAAGGTATTACATGATTTTTAAACATAGTTTATGCTCACTGAGCCCTTCTTAGGCGCTAGACATTTGCAAAGAGATTTACATGGAATCCTATCTAATCATCCTAAGAGCCCTTGAGGTAGGTACTCTTCTGATGCCCATTTGCCAAGGTTTCTTACCCCTGCCCAAGGTTCCACCAGCCAGTAGTCTTTTTAAAAGATTTTTTAAAATTTTTATTTATTTGAGAGAGAGAGAACGAGTGGGGAGGAGAGGGAGAAGCAGACTCCCCACTGAGCAGGGATCCCGATGAGGGGCTCGATCCCCGGACCCTGGGATCATGACCTGAGCCACCCAGGCGCCCCACCAGTAGTCTTTCTAACTCTGGAGATGGAGCACTTTGTCTCTGCTGCGTGGACAGGCCTTCAAACATATTCTAAAGAAGTACCCAGGAAGAAACGGTTGAGTCTTGTTGGTTCAATTTTAGCCTGTGTCAAAGGAAAACCATTAAGTGTATGTATGACTCTGTCCAGCCAATCATGTTGCAATCCATTTTTCCCATGGGGTTGAAAGGTGCCTGATCAGCAGTCCTCTCTGCCTCAGTGCAGGCATTTTTTTTTTTCTTTCATTTTTGGCTATAGCTGCTTTTTACAAAACCGGTTGCTTTTTGTAACTCGGCCTCATCAACTACTTGACTCCTCCTGCCCTCAGAAGGGCAGCCAGTTTATCACCTGCCAGGCTGCTGTTTTGTGTATTGAATTTCCTAGAATTGTAGAGCGTTGTCTGTTTATACATGAATGTTCACAGCAGTTTCATTAATAATTGCCAAAAACTGGAAACAGCGTAAATACCCATCAATGGTGAATGGTGAAACAAATTTGGTACATCCATACAACAGAATACTACTCAATAAAAAGGGCCAAACATCTGAAGCATGTAATGACACGGATAAATCTTAAAAATGTTATGCTAAGTGGAAGAAACCAGACTCAAAATGTTACATTCAGCATGGTTCCATTGATATGCTATTCCAGACAATGCAAATCTAATATATAATCATAGAAAGTAGATCAGTGATTGCCTGAGGGTAAGGAGGGGGTGGATGGGTGCAGTGTGATTGGAAAGAGGCACAAGGGAACTTGGGGGTAAAGGTAATGTTCTATATCTTAATTGTGGTGATAGTTCACACATGTACGTACCTTTCAAAACTCATCAAACTGTATACTTAACATGGGTACAATTTTTATATATAAGTTATATCTTAATAAAGTTGGTTCAAAAATAAAACTTTCCCATGAGAAACAATCCATCTGGATCAGGTGCCCATTTCAGAGTTCTTAGTTAATGGGAGCCTCGAGTCATTTTAAGAGCTAGGTCCTCATTTACAGGGGAATGCAGCCTTCCCCCAGGAGACAGGTCTCTGGGCATCTCCAGCATATCTCTACGCAAGGCACTCTGAGCAGAGTTCATCCGAAGTAAAGTTCAGAGTCATGTCTTTGAGAAACACCCCTTCTTAACACAGGACGTAGATTTCTTTTCAGCCAGGAATTTTTCCTTTCCAGTGTTCATAGAGGAAGAATGAGCATGGCAGATGGACAATGAAAAACCAGATGGCCTGCAAGTACAGAGTAGGGATCTTCTTAAGTAGGAGCCTTTGCACCTGGAGTGCTAAAGGTAGGATGGGACTCAGCACCTACTCACTCAACCTCCACCACAATCTGTCAGGAAGGGGAGTGGTTTGCTAGGAGGCCATGAGGGCCAATCACCCTTCTTCCTGCTCTCCTAGGCTCCTCCCCAGGCTCTCCTCCCTGCTGGGTCAGGGTCCTGAGCGTTCTTGGGCTGGGTGTTCAGACTACAGCAGAGCC